GAGTGGCAGAGGGAGAAGCAGGCTCCCGGCTGAGCAGGGAGCCCGATGTGGGGCCCAATCCCAGGACCCTGGGATCATGACCTGAGCCGAAGGCAGACACTTAACAACTGAGCCACCCAGGCACCCCTACACTCAGCTTTCTTTTGATTACTGACTGTATGATATATTTCTGTGTATACTTTTATTTTTAACCTGCCCATGTCTTATATTTAAAGTGTGGTTATTATAGAAGGCATGTAGTTGGGTCTTGGTTTTTTACCCAGTTGCACAATCTCTGCCTTTTCATTTTAATGTTTACATCATGTACGTTTGAAGTGACTGTTGATATGGCTCGGTTTACATCTACCATCTTGCTATTTGTTTTCTATTGACTCAACTCTTGCTATTTTTATTTCATTGTTATTCATATTATTCATTATTTCATTATTTCAAATAAAAGAATCACTTTTTTTGTCCTGTGGACTTTGTTTTTCTTTTTTAGGATTCCTGGGTATCTTCACTATGGCTTATTAGTTAGGTCCCCTTTAAAAAATTGTTATTGTGTTGTTCTAGGGATTATAATATACTTCTCTAACTTATTACAACATATATTCAGATGAGATGAACGATGCCGCTGTTCATACGGTACAAGGTACAGTGTGAGAACGTGCCCCGTGGACTGCTGTGGCCTCTTCCCCATCCTCTGTTCTGTTGTTTTTCTGTATTTTACTTCCACACACCGTTATCCATCCCATGATACCTTGCTACTTTATTTCCTGAAGATATGCAACTATCTTTTAAAACGATTAAGATGACAAAAATATTTTTTATGTTTACCATCATTTATACCATTTTCGTGCTTTTTATTTCTTTTTGTAAAATGCCCATTTTCATCTGGCATCCTTTTGCTGCGAGGACTTCCTTTAGCAATTCTTGATAGCACAAGACTGCTATCAGTGAATTTTCATAGCTTTTGTCTGAAACGGTCTTTATTCCACCTTCATTTTTTTAATTTAATTAATAAACTTTAATTTTGAGAGCGATTTTGGATTTCAAGAAAAACTGAGCAGAGAGTACAGAGCGTTCCTGTATTCCTTAACTGCCCAAGCATGCCTGACTCTTCCAAGAGACCTTCAGCATATTAATCACACTTATTTTATTTTATTATTTTTTTATTTTATTTTTTTTTAAAGATTTATTTATTTGAGAGAGAATGAGAGAGCACATGAGAGGGGGGAGGGTCAGAGGGAGAAGCAGACTCCCCGCCGAGCAGGGAGCCCGACGCAGGACTCGATCCTGGGACTCCAGGATCATGACCTGAGCTGAAGGCAGTCGCTTAACCGACTGAGGCACCCAGGCGCCCTAATCACACTTATTTTAAAACCCTTGTCTGATCGTTCCCGCATCTGGGTCTGATGTCCTCCCCCTCCTTGTCCCTATGCCTGCCTCCTGCTCATCCTCACCCTCTGCTCCCCCACGTTCTTCTCTTTCTTAAGGCTCTTGTCACTGTTCATCATCTTCAATTTTCTTGCCTATATTTGGGTCTAAACTGTGCTCTTCAGGGCAGGCTCTGGAACTTGCTCATCTCTTGCCCTGAGTCTGGGGCTACTTAATTGGGCTAAACTCATGATAATGACTGCACGAGTGGGTGAGGGAGAGAAGGGACAAAGACACAAGGGGTAGCTTCCATGGTAAGATTTCCAGGAAACATTGCCATGTAAAATTGAGCCATCCTCTTTATACTTGAAAAAATTCACAAAAATAACACATACTTGAAACATTTAGCAATTTCAGAAGTTAAAATAGTGAGAATTTCCCTTCTTCCCCCACTACAGCCTAGGGTAATATGTGGTTCCAGACTTTTCCCTGAATGAGTGTATGTATATATGAGTACATGTATTGCACAAATATGCATAAATATAATTTGTATTAAGAAATAGGTTCATACTGCATATAAAATTCTTCAACATGTTTTTTCATTTACATGAATTTTCAGGAGCATCTTTCTAAGTCAGTGCACATCTACAGGTACCTTTAAAAGTGCTTCTGGGGGTGCCTGGGTGGCTCAGTCGTTAAGCGTCTGCCTTAGGTCATGATCCCAGGGTCCTGGGATCGAGCCCCGCATCAGGCTCCTTGCTCCGCGGGAAGCCTGCTTCTCCCTCTCCCACTCCCCCTGCTTGTGTTCCCTCTCTCACTGTCTCTCTCTCTCTCTCTCTCTGTCAAATAATAAAATAAATAAAAATCTTTAAAAAAAAAGTAAAAGTGCTTCTGTACAGAACGCTGTTATGCAGATATAATTTACTTAGGTCCCCTCTTGGGTAGACATTTTGATTGCAGTCTTTGCTTACATTGCAGTGCTGATGGCTGACACACTGCTGGGCTTACCGTGGGCCAAGGACCACGCTATGAGCTTCCCGTGCATGATCTCATTTAACCTTTATAACGCTTTTCCCAATCATGCACAGTCGTTCTTTCTTCTTTCTTCTCACTAGCATAGCTGACACTGAGAAGTATTGAGGCTGATACTTCTGGACTCTGCTTATCCACTGTGACTTCTCCAGGTCATTCCATAAAGCAGCCAGGTTGTCCAGAGTGTTGGTGCCAAAGCACCAATTTGTTTGAGTCTTTAGCTCTTTCCCATTCTGTGTTCACTGCGGTGGATTTGTCCCTCCCTGTTTCAGGGGCCCTCTCTTACCACTCTCCTCACTTTCCTTAAGAGGGCAGGTCCCTTGTGACCACTTGAGGCTGGATGCAGATCTCTCTATCCATTCTATGGCCCTACAAGCAGATTGGGGATCTTAGTTGCTTGATTTCCCAGGGGAAGCCGACCTGAATGTGGTCCAGTGAAATGTAATCAGGGACTTTATAGTGTCTGTTTTCGTCTTTCCTAAACCTCCTGGCTGCCACATCTCGACCTTTCATCCCAGGAGTGGTATAAGTCTCTCCGTGGACAGGCTTGAGTTGATGGATTTCTTCCTGTCGTGTGCTGGGCCAAAAGACTACCTCTTTGAATTCTACATTTCTAGTCTTTTCCTGCAAATCAGGGTGGTTTTTCGACTTCAGCTAATCCTGATGCATGGCCAGAAATGATGCGTCTTGTCCCTGGGTTGTCAGGGGCTCACAGGAGCAGGCAGAGGCAGTCAGGGGCTCCTTTCCATTCGTTCCAAGAAGCCTTTCAGAAGTGCCTGTCCCCCCTTGTGCCCCGAGGCCTCCAGGCCACCACTGTAAGCCACTGCTGATCCGCACTGATATTTCCCCTCATTAATGTCTGTTTAAAACAGCTTTACTGAGGCATATTTTTCATACAGTAAAATCCACCCATCTAAAGCATCCGGTGAGATGAGTTTGGGTAAATGTAAACAGTCATACGACCCTCAGCCACAGTCACATTTGAACATTACCGCCTTTCCCTTGTTTCCTTGTTCATCCCTTTGCCAGCAGTCCCTCGATCCCTCCTCACTGCGGACCAGGCAACCATCAATTTGTTTCTGGAGGCTAAGGTTTTGCCTTTTCTAGAACTTCATATAAATGGAATCATGTGGTGTGTTGTCTTTTCTCTCTGGCTGCTTTTTCTTAGTAAAATACATTTGAAATTCATCCCTGTTGTTACCCCTAGGGTTCCTCTTTAGTGCTGAGTCATATTCCATTGTATGGATAGTTGGTGTCTTGTGTCTATGTTCCCCAGTTGAGGAACATTGAGATGTTTTCCATTTCGTGGCTATTGTGAATCATGCTAATGTGAACATTTGGGTACACGTCTTTGTGTGGACATAAGTTTTCATTTCACTTGGGTAAATACCTAAGAGGGAATTACTGGGTTGAATGATAAATATATATTTAGCTTCCTGAGAAACTGCCAATTGTTTTCTAAATTACGGTGCTATTTTGCATTCCTACCAACAATGTCTGTGGGTTCCTGTTGTCCCATATCTTGGCCAGCATAGGTATTATTATTATTTTAGTTATTTTTTCTTTTTTAAAATTTTATTTTAATTAGGCTCTATGCCCAAAGTGGGGCTCGAACTCATGACCCTGAGATCAAGAGTCGGATGCTCTACCTACTGAGCCCTCCAGGAGCCCCATAATTTTAGTTCTTCTAGTGGGTGTAGTAGTACCTCTTCCTGACTTTTTATTTTTTATTTTTTGGCTTTTGGTTTTGTTTTGTCTTTAAACTTTATTTTGAAATAGTTTTAGATTTATAGAAGAGTTGCAAAGCTAGTACAGAGCGTTCCCTTTGTACCTTTAATCTTCTAATGAGATGGTTCCCAACCAGGGCTGATTTTGCTCCCAGTGGACCTGTGGCAATGTCTAGAGGCATTTTTAGTTGTCCCATCATGGGGTGGGGGGGCATCCAGGGGGATTCTACTGACACCTAGTGGGTAGAGGCCATTCGAGATTGAGGTGGACATCAGGATGCCTCTTTTTTTTTTTTTTTTTTTTTAAGATTTTATTTATTTATTTGAGAGAGAGACAGAGATAGTGAGAGAGAGCAGGAGTTGGGAGGAGAGGGAGAGGTAGAAGCAGGCTCCCTGCCAAGCAGGGAGCCCGATGTGGGACTTGATCCCAGAACCCCGGGATCATGACCCGAGCTGAAGGCAGACCCTTAACCAACTGAGCCACCCAGGCGCCCCCAGGATGCCTCTTTTTACCTTTTCCTTCTGCATTTTTTGGTCACTTAATTCCCTCCCACTATCATGGAGCCTCTGTTCTGAGTTTATCTAGGCCTGAAGAATCAATCAGAAATGGAGAAAAAGGGTTTTCTCTAGTCCCAAGTGAACAGTTTCAACCTCCAGTGACCACCAGGCTGGAGGATACAGGTCTGGTTCCTATAGGATGGTGACCAACATTGTACGGACCATCTCTGGATGTTCCTCGATGGCCTCTCCTCCCTCTGGACAGAGGTCGCTGACTTTTCTTTGTTCCCTGGTTTTATTACCTGCTCTTAACACGATGCTCGTAATTAGCACAGTGGCCATCCGTGTTGCCCATGTAACTGTATGGATCATTTCTTGTCTCCACAGTCAGATTATTGCCAGAGGGCTGCTCGATGTCCTCCGGGACTTCAGTAACAATGAGGAGGACTTCTTAACGGTAATGGAAATCGTGGTCAGATTGGCAGAAGATGCAGGTTTGTACAAGGATTGTATACTTTTATTTTTTACTTGTGTATTTCCAAGAAATTGTGTATAGCCAATGATAGTGAATTAAAAAGAAAACCTGAGTGCTAATCAATACGTTTTAAGCAGTGTCTAGGCATGAATGGGTTTTGTCATGAAGAATGGATGTCTTATTTGGCATCAAATTATCCTTAGTTTTAGAAAATTAGAATGACTAATGGCCATGAATGCTATCTGCCGTGGCAGTTAAGGCCTTTGTAGTTCGTGAGTTTTCCCAGCCTGTTGGTTGCTAAGAAATACCAAATCAAAAGAAGCCTTTTGGATTAGAACAAGCCGAGTCATTAGTTTCCCTCACCTATGATCTTTGTAGGCTACTCTTGATTTTTCTTTCTCTTTCTATCTCTCCATGATTGCTGTCCTGGGAGGGAAGCACGCTGCTGTGCGGGAGACAGGAAGAGGTCCCTCGCATGCTCTCCTCCCCCATACACACAGGAGAGAGGAGTGAGAGGAGCAGGTGCTGGGGCTGCCGCAGCTGATAGCTGTCCTGCAGCCCCCCCACCCTCCCCCCCATTTGTGATGATTGGTGAACAGCTTCAGAAAGTTTCGGGAATCTTACACTTGCTTTAGATTTTGATCATTTTAACTGAAAATAGAAAAATAAGCCTTCCACATAGCTCCCGTATTCATTTAAAATATTCATATGAATATGACACAATGCTTTTAGAAGGCCCAAGTGGATGTTTTGAGTCCTTAAATGGATTTTCTTTGTGAATGAGTCACCATTTACAGTGCTGAAGCAATTATATATTTGTGTTAAATTTAATGTGGTATATTGGAGCTAGAGCCTCTCTTTTGTTTAATGCTTTGCCTTAGAAATAATTGGGATGCGTGGATTGTGGGGGAGTGCATTTATGAAAGAATTATTTATAATGTATACATTCTGGCTGGAATTTAAATAAGCACAACCCATAGGTCTGGCATATATGCCATTAGTTGTAATGGCTTTTGGACGCTGGCCCAGCATGCAGACTTCTTGCTCCCTCCTCGATTTATATATGGCTTGTTATAATAGAGTTGTCATTCTCTCTTCCTTTTATGTTTTTATATTGCCACATAGCTTATTAGCTTTTTAAGCCTGTCTGTAGCATAAATAGTCTAAATGGGAAATGATTTTTAAACTGCATTTGTCTAATTTCCTTGATGAAGTATTTTAGTAAGAAAAGCTAGAAACTATCACTATATACTCTATAAGCTGCTTGGCTTATTCTTATATAATTCTTTTCTGATTTTTTATTGCTGCAGAGCCCACAGTGCGGACTGAGCTGATGGAACAGATTCCTCCTATTGCTGTTTTTTTACAAGAAAACAGATCAAATTTTCCAGTGGTGCTCTCTGAATATCTCACACCGATTGTAGTGCGGTACCTCACGGATCCAAACAACCAGGTGTGAAAAACTGTGACCTGAAGATCTGTGCAGCAAATTCCCCTTAGTCTTATTTGAGCTGATATTCATAATTCCGAGAGCAGCTTCTCAGAGTTAAGCAATTCAAGAACAAAAGACCTGTTTGTGCCTGGTTCCTCAAGTCACGCAGGCAGATAGATAGCACTCACTCTTATTTATCATGAGATATTTCTTTTCTTTTCTTTTCTTTTTTTTTTTTTTAACTTTTTCTTATGGAAAATTTCAAACACACAGCATCAGAGAGAATCTTAAAATGAATGTCCATGTCCAAATGAATGCACCCAGCTTTGACCGTCATTAACATTTGACCAGTCTGTTTTCATTTATCTTGAGATAATCCAACCCAGATAAAAGCATTTCCCAGATACCATGTCATTTTAACCGTAAATGCTTTAGTATTACTCTCTGAGAAATATAGACACTTTTTAAAAAAACATAATAGCAATTCCATTGTCACATGGATAAAAATTATCAATAGATCCTTAATATCATGTAATCTCAAGTCGTTGTTGAAATTTTTCCAGTTTTCTCAGAAATCTGTTTTTTTTTGGGGCAGTCTCTTTAAATCAGAATCCATATGAGGTCCACACATGGCATTTGGTGGATGTGCCTTTTAAATCTCTCTTAATTTATAATCGTTCATCCTCCCATTTACTCCCCTGCTCTGGGAAACTAGGTCATTAACCTCTAGGAGTCCCTGCATTTGGGATCTGGCTGATCACATCCCCATAGTGTGGTTTGAAATGTTCCTCTATTCCCAGTACGTCCTCTGAACTGCTAGTTAAGTCTAGAGGCTTGGTCAGATTCAGAGTTTTATGCAGTATAGTGAGAATCCTTTTTAGCCGCCACTGTGTTTTCCTGCTGCATCAGATCAGGAAGCACTCAGGAAGTGTGAGCATTGGATTGTGTTTGGGTGTGTCAGCCTTCTCTGTTCATTACAGAATTCTTTGCCAAGAGTATGTATTGATATTTCCAACATCACATTTAGGATTATAGGGCTTTTACTTATTTGATTTTATATTCATAACTTTTTTTTTTCACAGTATAAATCTTGCTTCTTAATGGCATTAATGTGTCCGTGTGTGTGTGTGTGTGTCCAAAATAAAAATACCAGTATGATTGCTAACAGTATGGTGGGATAGCTGAATATAGTTTGAGATTTCTTTGCTGTTCTTTTTGTGTTGGGGCTGTCTCCCACTAGAGATGTACAGTCGTATTAACATAATATTAATAAGACTGTGTTCCAAAGTCACTTGTATGAACCCTTCTCTTTGTGCCTAAGCTGCCAACTTGATCCACACTTAGGCTCATTTATTTTTTATTTTTAGGAATTGCTTTAGCTTTTACATTTTGATTTAATTTAGACTTAATAATTATTTAAAATGTTTTTACATAATTCCAAGTCAAACTGTAAAACAAAGTACATTCGGAAAAATCTGACTTCTGGGGCACCCGGGTGGCTCAGTTGGTTAAGGGTCCGACTCTTGGTTTCAGCTCAGGTCATGATCTCAGGATCGTGAGATTGAGCCCCGTGTCGGGCTCCATGCTCAGTGCAGAGTCTGCTCGAGATTCTCTCTCTCTCCCTCTCCCTCCCCTTCTGCCCCTCCTCCTCTCTAAAATAAATAAATACAATCTTTAAAAAAAAAAGAAAAGAAAAATCTGACTTCCATCCCTATCTCGCCCATCTGTTCCCTCCCTCCCCTGTAGATAGCCATTTTTTCCAGGTTTTGGTTTATTCTTACCTTTAAAAAATACACACAGATAACTCGAAGCACATATGCACATGTCCTTTTGTTCTGCACCCCCGTGTTACTTTCTCAGATGCAAGTGGCATACTGTGCATGGTACTCTGTCCCTTGCTTTCCCCGCTGTCCAGGGTATTCTGCAGATCAATCCGTAGCAGGTGGGGCAAAGCTTCCTCATCCCTTTTTCTAGCAGCATGTACTCCGCTGGGGAGGTGTGGCATGGTTTATTGATAGACATTTGGGTTATTTCTACTGTTTTGTCACTTCAAAATTGTTGCAACAAGTAGCCTTGCAGCCTTTCTATTTCTGAGTTATTGTGGGAATGGATTTGCACAAAGGCTAAAGGTATTTATAATTTTTTTTTTTTTTTTTAGAGAGAGAGCAAGCGGGAGAGCACAAGGCAGGGGGAGGGGCAGAGGGAGAGGGAGAGAGAGAATCCCAAGCAGCTCCACGCCCAGCACAGAGTGGGACGCGGGGCTCGATTTCACGACCCTGAGATCATGACCTGAGCTGAAATCAAGAGTTGGATGTTTAACTGAGCCACCCAGGTGCCCCCATATTTATAATTTTTAATGATATGCCAAGTTTTCATTATTGTTGTTTTCAAGAAGTTCTGCAGTTTTGGCTTGTATTTCTCCCTTAATCTAAGCATTTTTAAAGAGCAAATACTTTAACTGTTATACTGTGACACGATTAAATGTAGTATTCGAATAAGGAAGAAAGTCCTCCTTTTTCCACTCTCCAAATGGCAGTATTTTGATTATTTTTGCATTTTCTTCTTCAGGTGCTTCCATTTTTTCCCACATGGGTCTAATCATAATGTGATGCAGTTTCTCCCATTCATTCATTTATTCTGACGGCTTCTGAATGCCCGTTATGAGCCGAGCGTGGTGCTTTGTGCTGGGGATAAAGACATGAGTAGGACAGATTTCCTGCCCCAGAAAGCTCACTGGCATGTAGTAGACATTGTACATCTTCATAATCTTTGTGTTTTTACTTTTGTTGAATGCTTAGCTTTCTTTCAGCCTTTTGGTGCAGTGGATGCAGTGAGCATTATAAAGGATGTGGTTATATTCTTCCATTGGCTGTTCTTTTTTCCTTTGGATATATTCTTGAAGATGAGATTGTACTGGGTCAAAGAACTTGACGTATCCTTGACCTTTGTCATATATCACTGCCATCTGTTTGGTTCCAGAAGGGGAGTGGCTGGAACTGTGATTTGGACCCCAGGCTCTCTCCTGTCCCTCCTTGCTCTGCCACCACCCTGAGCCTTCCTGTCCTAGAGGCCTGTGGCTCCCACCTCTCCTTGTCCTCCTGCCTTCATTTCCTGTTCTGCTTTGGGTGCCCCCTCCCTCAGCCTCCCCTTTCTGATGGCCTCCCCATCTGCACTCCTTTCTTTCTTTTTTTTTTTTTAAAGATTTTATTTGTTTATTTGAGAGAGAGAGAATGAGAGACAGAGAGCACGAGAGAGAAGAGGGCAGAGGGAGAAGCAGACCCCCTGCTGAGCAGGGAGCCCGATGTGGGACTCGATCCCGGGACTCCAGGATCATGACCTGAGCCAAAGGCAGTCGCTTAACCAACTGAGCCACCCAGGCGCCTGCACTCCTTTCTGACAGTGCCTCCGCCACTCTGTCTTTGCCTGTCCGCCCATCCACAACTCGCAGGCTCTCAGGTCCCAGAGGCCGAGTTTAGGGCGGGGTGCGGGTGGGGGCCGCTGCCATGCATTGACTGGTGCCATCACAGACGTAGGGATTCCGATCGCAGCCAGACTCACCGCGCTGCCTGCCGACCCTTCCGCTCATCCCTCCTCAGCGGGTCTTACATCATCCAAGGCTGCTCTTTCAGACCTTTGCCACTGTCGTCAAGCCTCTCCACCTTGGCCTGTCGTCCACCAAACAGGCGACCTTGCCTTTTGCTTGAGTGAGAAAATAGAGGCCTTCATCTTCATCTATTCTCTCAACAAGTGGGTCCGCTCATACTTCCTTTGGTTCCCTGGAGCCCCAGCCTGGGGCCATCAAAACCCTCCCTTCTCCCGCCCCCCTGCCCAGCCAGGCCTTGCCAGGTGTCCTTTGTTTCCATGATAAACAGAACTCTTTTGTGTACACCCCCTCTTCTCCGTTCCTGTCACCTTTAAACACAGAAATATGGCAGAGTCCGATCTTCCTGAAGGTTTTTCGTTCAGACTCTAATGCCTTCAGGCACAGCCGACTCCTCTGTGGGCCGCTGCATCTGTGCACCCTTTCCCTTCTGCCCATGCTGGCGGCCTTGCTCCTTCCAGATGCCTCTCCTCTCCTCCTGTCCATGTCTTCCTCACTTTAACCGAGGCCAGCCCTTTCAGACCTGCTCCCTGGGGCGATGCTGCAGGGTCCCCGAGGAGGTAGGATTCTGAGTTCCGCCAAGACTCAGATTTTTTTGCCTGTGGGAGTGGGTCTGTCAGGTTGGTCGAGCATCTGCGGCGCAGGCCTCCCTCCGTTCGTCATCAGGTACTCTTCAGGGCCAGTGCGCTTTGCAGGGACTCATGGGAGGTATGAAATCACGAAATCAGGCACGATAGTGATATCATTACCACGTTGCTGGTACTGCTAACAGCTAGTGTTGCTTGAGCTCTCAGGGTGTGACATACTGTGCCCCAGGATTAGTGAGGATTATCTTGTTTACTCTTCGTAACCACCCTGTGAAGTATGGGCATGCTTGCTCATTCCTTTGTTTTGGAGGTGCGAGAGCCGAGGGCAGAGAAATGTGGTGTGTGTGTTGGGGCGCCATGAGCTGCCGAGGGAGCCCGGGATGCCAGGCCCCGTTTCCCGAGGCTCATCTGGTGTATGTGTTGGGACCGCCCAGGCTCTTCTGGATGTCGTGACTAGTATTTTCTCTGAGCACTGACTGTAGGAACTGTGTCTTACTTGATTGTCTCCGTGCCCAAGCACAGGGCCTGGTACCTGGTGGAGTTTTAGTAGTGTGTTGTGGGACTGAGGCAGCTGCCACCTCTCCGTTTGCTAGTGTGGCCACATTTTTCTGGCTGTCCTGAGCTACTTGCCTTCTCTCTCAGGGGACACGGGGGTCCCAGCCCCTCTTCAGTGCGATGTCTTCATTTTCCTCTTTGTTCCCATCTTCTTGTCTCAGAGCTGGTCCATTTTTCCAGTCTCTCTCATTGGCTTTTCTCTTTTGATTTTCATCATGCCTCCATCTCCCTCAACCCTCTGTGCCCTGATCTCTCCCCTGAGCGTACCACCACTCCCTTCCCCCACTGCCAAGCTTCTCGAAAAAGGAAGCTCTGCATCCTCTGCCCTGCATGGGCTCCCAGCCAGGCAGCAGCTGGCCCCACTGCAGCCGAGAGATGTCTTGCCGTGGACTCAGCTCGTCTCACTGTGAAATCCGGTGTTTTTGTTTCTTCAAAGATAGTTTTGATTTTTAAAAAACCATGAGATGTTTTAATCACACGAGAGGATTGTGTAATAAGTACCCATATACCTATTACACTCACTCAACAAATGTTAAACTTTTGTAATTTTGCTTTAGACCTGTTTAATTTTTTATGTATAGGTTGTAGATCCGGTTAAAACTGTGCTGTGCCCTCCCCAGGCCGTTCTCCCTCCCTCCCCTTTTGTAGGAAACCACTACCCTGAGTCTCGGGGTGTCCAGAGTTTTATAGTCCCACCACTCGTGTAAGTGGCCCTGAATAAGAGAGTGTCTTGTTTTAGGTGCTTTAAAACCTTATATAAATGGCATCACACTGTACTTTCCATTCTGCCACTTGCTTTTATCCCTCCCTTTTTAAGATCTATCCACATCGATCCCAAGAGCTCGTGGTCATTCATTTTAACCAGGTGATGGTATTGCATTTATATTCTTCCCACAATTTATTTATCTATCCAGTGACTTCTTTTTTGCTTTTACTTGATTTTTTTTTTGCACCATTTGTCACCATTAACGACTTTTGGGTCTTTGAAGAAACCTTTCTTGGCTGCCTCCTAGACATTTAGCATTGCTCTCCCCCACCGATGGGATGCACAGGTGGCGGAGACATGTTTTCTGTTCCTTTTGGAGCTCAGCATTAGGTCAGTGTGCACTGGGATGGTCTTATTACCTCTTACATCCCTCTCTTGGCAACTAGTCATATGATTTTAGTCACAGTAAAGCAGGATTCATTTGGGGGAGACCGGACCCCACACCCTGTTCGTTCTTATTTATTTATTTATTTATTTATTTATTTATTTATTTATTTATTTATTTATTTATTTGAGAGGGGGAGGGAGAGAGAGAGAGAGAGAGCACCCACGCAAGAGCGTAAGATCAGGGGGAGAAGGGAGAAGGGAGAAGCAGACTCCCCGCTGAGCAGGGAGCCTGGACATGGGGCTCGATCCCAGAACGCTGGGATCATGACCTGAGCCGAAGGCAGATGCTTAACTGACTGAGCCACCCAGGCATCGCACCCCACACACTGTTCTGAGCCCTTCGTGTCTGTAGGTTGTATCACCCCACAGCTGCCCTTGGAGGCGGGTGCTGTCACTGTGTACTTCTACAGACAAGAAGCCGAGGCTCAGAGAGCCCTCAGCCCCTGGCCCCAGAGGATGCAGATGGGGTGCGGCCTGGAAACCAGTGCAGGGTCTCCTGTGGGTGACCCAAGTGTCCCCCCACCCCTTCCTTTCCTGCTGGTCTGCTCTTCCCTAAGCTCCAGCGCTGGCCCTGGCCCTTGCCCGCTCTCCAGGGCGTGGTCTGGTCTTTTTCTTACTGTGTCAGGATTCCCTTGGTGATCTCGTCTGCTTCCGGGGTGGAGCAGAGCCACGTGCACAGGGCTGTCTCTCCCCCAGGAGTTCACGAGCCTGCACCGCCCAGTGACGGTTCTCCCGAGGCATCCAGTGCATCACATTGGGCCCCCCCAAGCTCAGACACCCACCCCAGTTCTCTTTACCTTCAGTGTTCCTTCTCCATTTTTTCCATTTGGTGATTGGTGGCCTGAGGCAAAGACCCCAGGGTCATATTTGGTTTTCCAGTGACGAGCTTAGCTCTCTGCAGCAGTGTCTCTCAAACCTCCCCTGTCCTTTCTGGCCCCCCTGCCCTCCCGAATTCCAGGCCTCAGCCAGAGCATCTCTGCCTGGGAGCCCCTCGCCCGCTCTTGCAGCTTTTAGAGCCACTTGAGGCTTAAACTGTCACCCTCACTGAAGCTTTGTCTGCTCTTGTCACTCCTCTGCTTTCCAACCCTTGGGGCTCCCCAGTGCCCTGCCCCACCCCAGCTGGCTTCAGCCTCCCCTGGGTTGCTTGAGGTGCCGTGCCCTGACTTGCCCTGTGTCCCCAGAGCTCATCTCCTATCTTTGAGCCCATTGTCCTCTCCCTTTCCTTGCTTGCTCTAACAGTCCCCAGGGGCAGCCGTAACCAAGCACCACAAGCTGGGGGCTTAAAACAGCACACATTTATTCTCGCACAGGTGGGGAGGCTGGAAGTCCAAGATCAAGGTATCATCGGGTCTTGCTCACTCTGGAGGCTCCAGGGGAGATTCTGTTCCTTGTCTCTTCCAGCTTCTGGAGGTGTGGACCCCCTTGGTTTCCAGCTACGTCGCCCTAGCCTCTGCCTCTGTTTTCCTGTGGCCTCCTCCTCTTCTGTCTGTCCTCTCCCCTTGCCTTTCTCTTATAAGGACACTTGTGATTGCCCTTAGGGTCACCCTGCTAATGCCAGGTGACCTCAGGTCCTTAACGTGACCCCCAATCACATCGGCAGAGACCCTTTTTCCACAAAAGGTCACATTCAAAGACTCCAAAGGTTGGAGGTACATAACGTTTGGAGTCCACCCTTCACCCCCTGCCCTCAGCAGGCTTCTGACTGCCTTTGACATTCTGCTCCATGTCCTCAGCCGAGGACCTGCCCGCCTGCCCCCGCCTGCCGTGTCCTCCCTGCGCTGCCGCCCTCTGGAGTCCTCAGCTGCCACCTGGGACTGAGTCATGTAGCGAGGCGGCTGAAGGGTCTGCCCTCGGCTGTGCTCCTCGCACCTCGCACGTTCTCTGCTCCTGGCATGTGCCGGAGAGCTCAATAAGTGTCTGACATCTCCGAGTTATGGGGGACTTTCACTGCCTCTGGCTGGACACTGTGTCCTGTCACCCAGGCCTGGTAATATTGCCGGGGCATCCCCTTTCCTCTGCCCGCCCCTCCCTCTGGGGCTGTTGCGGTGGCTACCTGGCTGACCTCTCTGCCCTCAGCCTTTCATCACCTCCGGTTGACTTGGAACACCACTGCCGGAATGATCTTTCTAAAATACCGTTTTCATCTTGTCACTTGTTTGGAAGCTTCCATGTCAGAGTGCCTCCGTAGCTTATTTTGTAACTGCTGTCTGCTCGCCTGCCACTCTGTGTGCGCTCTGGGTCCCGGTGCTCTTTCCCTCCTTTAGTGTCACTGCAATGGGCTGCATCTTCCATTCCTTGCTCTGTAAGTTGGGAGTTTTCTGTGCTTTCACGTCCCCAGATATGTTCTCTGTCCAGCTTTTTGGGGTCCCTCTGCCTTCTAGTGCTCGCTCGCCCCTCCTCTCTGGGACTGAGGAGGCTTCCGAGTCCTGCCTCGTTGGGGCTCATCTCTGGGCCCCTGCCCCATGGCCTTCTGTGGACGTGTGTGGGTGTGTCTGTGCAGAAATCCAGGGTCTGAGCCATGAGGGCAAAGTGGGGGGCACTGTTGGAGGACAGATGGGAGACATGACCTGAATGGGGTCCTGGGGAAGGGGATGTTTGGCCTGAGAAAGGAACGGTAGGAACCAGCCAGGCAGAGGGAGCGGCGTATTTTGAGGCCTTGGGTTGGCAGTACACGTGGCGGGCCAGACGCCCTGTGTGGTTCGCGTGTGCCGCAGAAGACAGGGCGGTCAGCTTGGCACTCTGCTCAGGGAGTTTGGTCTGGATCCTGAGAGCACTTCAGCTCATTTGGTGTTTCACCTTTTGCCTTTGTTTCCTCTTCTAGGTTAGAAAATCAAGTCAGGAAGTACTCTTGATTCTTCTGGAACAAGATCTAATTTCCCAACATGATATTGAAAACAAAGTGTGTCCAATCCTGCTGGCACTCTCTGCCCCAGACAGTGATGACGAATATAAAGCAGAAGCTGTGAACGTAAGTCTGTGTAGGGAACGATAGCCCCACACCTTGGTGGATTGTCCCATAATTTGGGGTGTGCATGACTTGAGGTTTCACATGTGTTCATTGTTGGCCAGCACTTTCCCCCTAAACAAGGTGGCTGGCGACGTGGCCTGGGTCAGAGAACGTTCACAGTTCAGATCTGAGCATGTTTTAGAAATGATTATCCGGGCGCCTGGGTGGCTCAGTCGTTAAGCGTCTGCCTTCGGCTCAGGTCATGATCTCAGGGTCCTGGGATCGAGTCCCACATCAGGTTCCCTCCTGGGCGGGAAGCCTGCTCTCCCTCTCCCACTCCCTCTGCTTGTGTTCCTGCTCTCGCTATCTCTGTCTCTGTCAAATAAATAAATAAAATCTTTAAAAAAAAAAAAAAAGAAATGATTATCCTTAGATCACCAGGTGTTTTAAGATGGCAAAGCTGTCGAAATCAAAGTAGTTTAGGCTGAGGTGAGGCAAGATGCAGAGATTTACAGGTAAATCAGTCTTTGGACCCACTGGGATCATGAGCCCTGTTTCCCAGAGTACAGAACCCAGTCTAGTATGGGTGATGATTTTAGGTTGTGGTTGGGCAGTTCAAGAAAATCCAGTAGACGTGAGTGTCTGTGTATAGTTTAGGATAAGAGAGTGCTGGGTAGGTATGTGAGTAGATATGAGAGTCCACTCTGAAGAGTGCAGGTGTGGCCAGAATGTCCACGGCAGTTTGGGATGTGCCCTATCGAAGCATCTGCTCATACCCATTAAAGGTGTACAGTTAAAGGACTAGTACAAACACTAAATTTCTTCTTCCTTTAATAGTTAATTTTGTGGTTTCCTTGGGTTTGTAAGACCCTGTACCCTTCATAACGTGACTGTAGAGTCAAGGACTTTCTACTTGCTTCTGGAACCCTCATTCACATAGTAGCTGCTGCTGAGCCAGTGGTAGCTCTCCCGTACTTCCCCAGACACAGACTCCCTGGCTTGTCCTCATGCCTTCTCCTTTGTGGCCCAAGGGAAGGTCATCTGTGGCCATCTTCTTCTCTGTGGCTCCTTCCCTCCCCTGACCCAGGCAGACGGTGCTGCACAGAACAGCCCCCTGTTTCTCTTACAGAAGACTCAGGATTATCCCAGCATTTTAGGAAAATCATACCTAAGGATTAGAAAAAAAAAAATCATGGGCCTTCGTTATGAGTACAATAATATCTAGAAGATAATTGTTTTCTTGGTTGGAAAAGAATGACATTGGAAAAAGGAATTCTTTTTCAAAGTGAGGAAACATAGAGTGTGGAGCTAAAAAATTGTATTATAGCATCAGAGCATTTGGCAATTATTCTTCATTTATGTAAAAGTTTTCCTCAACTATGAGTTACAGGGCTGGCTTTTTAAACTAATTTAAGTTTTTGCATATTCCATATGTTTATAAGATGAATCAGGCTGAAGAATAATTGATTATTAAAATTCAAATTCTCCAGGGTTCTTTTATAAATTTCAAGTTTCCCTATAAGAAATTAAATTTATTTTGCAAAATGAACCTGGATAATATCATTTAGTTGGAATATTTGGCAGTTGAGCAGTGAACTTTGCCAGCTAGATCTTCTTCTTTGTTGGAAAGTTGGTTAGGCAAGTTTCCAAGGTTACAACCGACAACCAAATATCTTATCCCTCAAGACGGATAATAGCGTGAAAAATAATGCTCAAGGCGTTTTTGCATGATTTTTATTTTGTTTTGTTTTCAGCCACTCCATTCTTGCCAGCAATATTCTTTTCCTCCTTCTCCTCACTGTCCTCCTCTTCCCTCTTCTTCTTCCGGTGAAAATATTTGGAAAATACAACAAGCCTTCAAAAAGCTATCTCCACAACTCACTTACAGAACAAATTAGTTCACATAAATTGTATTTTTCATTCTAAGTGAGTGGCTGATATCATTACTCGAATGTGTAAGCTTTCAAATGTGGCTGCCAAGAACAATTAGTCTTGAACCCTCCTCAGGCTGAGGTGCACCTACGTTTCAGGGTATTTCTGGAGGACCTCCACTTCTCTCCCCACGGAGCCTTGTTGGAAGCAGGATTCGGGGTGCCTGGCTAGGCCCCTGCATGCTTCGGTCAGATTTGGAAGCTGTCCTGTGTTCCTTTCCTGGAGCCCCGGAGTTCCTCTCCTGGAGGCCAAGGGGAAGGGGTCGCTGGATGGATCTTACTCCTTGGGCACCCGGTGTCGAGAATCCCGGAGGGCGCTGTTCTCGTTAGCTAGGAAGTGACAGGACGGATAGAGAGAGTGGCTTTCATTCCTCAAGGAGAAGCAGCCCAAATGTGTGGTTTGGAGAGCTCCCCAAGGAGGGCAGGGTTCCCAGCTGGGCTGTGAGTGACCCCCAGATACTGCGGGCCCCATGTGCTGGTGAGGAGGGTGATGGGTGAGGAGAGAAACCAGTCGTGCTGCTTGTTTGGGGCTCTCTTTCCAGCCACGTGGTGTGAATGCTGCTACAGCCCCCTGTCCGTAAACACGCACCATCCCAGAATAGTGTGGTTCTAAAGGAATTGCTTCTTGCCCAAAGGAACCTGCATGCCTCCATCGGCAAAATGTGTGTCTGTGCTCTCGCCTTTTCATTCTCGTTAGGGGTTACAATCAGTTGATTCTGGTGCCAGCAACCCTAGTGCATACTTGATTAGGGAAATCAAAGGTAGCCAAGTAGACATGGCCTGGGCATTTTTAAATTGAGTTATGCAGTGTAAATTACAGGCTGGTTTCTTCCATCCTGCTTTCTCACAGACATGTGCATTTTGGTTTGTGAAATCTTTCTATAGATGGCAGACAATGTCTGTGACTCCCTCCTTTAGCAATCGAATTGTGAACTTGACTTGTTTATTTCTCCTTCAAAAGTATGAGCTTCTAAACACAGGTGTCTTTCCACCATCGGCATCCAGCACAGTGCCAGGCCCAGAGTCAGTACTAAATAAATGTTAGTTGTTGAATGAATGAATCGGTAAAAACTGAAGGCGCTGCATCCTGTAATTATATCTAGACAGCATAAACAGGCCACCAGAGACCAATTATAATTCCTCTTGCTTGCAGGAAGGCCATTAGCATTCTGAGATTATAACTAATTGTCAGAAGCCTATTTTTCTCTCTCAACACGTTTTCACATTAAGGCTTCCTCATTTTTTGTCGTCATTCCTATTTTTAAGCTCATTTTTATTTGTGCATTTATTTAAAAAGAATGTTGTGGTTGTGTATTATAAAGAATAGTTGGCTCCAGGCAACTAAGTGAAGATCGTCATTCCATGCAAGTAGTTCCCAGGGCCACGGGAATATCATTTCTTGTCACTTGGTGCGCTGGCTGGCTTTTAATGACTCTGTATTTGTTTTATACTGGTAGTAATAAGGTCATGTGGGTGTGGCAGATGGAGAGGGGTAGACGGAGCTACTGGGCAGTCTTCAGTTGTCTGTTCCCCTGGATACGGGAGCTTTGCGTGCTCATTTATTGTGGCCACCACTCTGTACAACTCTGCCTCGAGTCAGGTCAGAGAGATGTGTCCTCCGAGCTCGGAAGATGCAAGCCTTTTCGTTTTGGGGGGATCATTTCCCCTCCCCTCGGCCCCACTCCTCTTCCTGCCAGTCTCAGTGTGCTTTTCCCTCATGTTTGCTGTGTGCAGATTCCAAGTAGTTGTGGGTGAGCTGCTAACCCAGGACCTTTTTCTGCTAAGGCCGTGTGTACAGTGGGAAGAGCAGACCTCAGAGACAGGAAGTCCTCCCCCTTCTTCCTCCTTCCATCTTTTTTTCTTTGGTGGGGGGAGTGGGAGAGTTCTTTAAAAATTTTGGGGGGTGATTTTTCATTTTGTTTTAGTTTTAAACTTGTAGAAAATTTTCAGGAACGGACTCTTGAACTCTTGTATACCCTCTATCAGGTTCTCCTGTAGTTTATTACAGTCTCTGTCCTTACACACACACAGATACACATACATGTATGATTAAGTATTTTTCTGAGCCATTTGAGAGGAAATTGGAGGCATTATGCCCTTTTCGTCCCACATTTTTCAGTATGTATTTCCTAAAAACAAGGAAATACTCTCTTAAACAACCATAGCACATCGATCAAAATCAGGAAGTCTAACTTTGATATGATGCTAATATCTCATCCACAGTTCACATGCAGATGTTGTCATTTGTCTGGGATCCAGTCCAGGATCACACAGTGCACGGAATTGTCACAACACTTTGGTCTCCTTGTATCTGGAACAGATCCTGAGCCTTTGAATTTTGTAACGTTAACGTGTTGGAAGAGCACAGGCCAGTTCTTGGGCAGAATGTCTCCCAGTTTGGGTTTGTCTAGTGTTTCCTCATGATTAGATTCAGGCTCTGCATTTCTGACAAGAAAGGTGAAGAAACGTGTTCTCATGTATCATGGAGGGAGACCCAAGACTTCAGTGTGTTCTGACTTTGGCCGTCATTAACTGGTGACTTAGGAGATAGAGGTGGTGTCTGCCCAGTTTTTATGTACTACTTTCTCCTCTGGACGTAAGAAGGGGAGTCAGAGTGTGCTTTTCATCAGACTTCCCCCTACTAGTATGGTGTCCATTGATGGTTCAAGTTGATCTTCCACCATGAAGAGTGCTCCGTTCTCCATTATTTGCTTACATTGTGTTGCTGATTTTCATATCTGTATTCAAGAGGACTATTGTGGGCAATTTTCTTTTCCTATTAGTTTTTGTCAGGTTTTAGAATCTGGGTTATTTGGGCATCAAAAAATGAGTTGGGAAACATTCCCTGCTCTTCTATTTTCTGAAAGATTTTGTTCAAAATTGGTGTTGTTTTTCCCTTAAGTATTTGTTAGAATTCACCAGTAAAACCTCTGGTGCTAGGGTTTTCTTTGTGAGATGGTTTTTGATAGCAAATCCAATTCAGATATGGGGATATTCAGATCTGTTATTTCATCTGTGTCAGTGGGTAAGTTGTGCATTTTAGGGAATTTATTACTTTCATCTAAGTTGTTAAATTTATTGGACTAATGTTGCTTGCAATATTTCCTTATCCCTTTCGGGATGCTGGGTGGCTCAGTCAGGTAAGTGTCTGCCTTCGGCTCAGGTCATGATCGCCGGGTCCTGGGATCAAGCCCTGCATCTGGCTCCCTGCACAGTGGGGATTTCCCTCTGCCCCTCCCCACCCCTGCTTATGCTCATGCTCTCTCTCTCTCAAATAAATATATAAAATCTTGAAAAAAAATATCCTTATCCCTTTCATGCCTGTAAGATCTGTAGTATGTTCCCCTTTCATTTATGATATTGGTAATTTGTGTTTTCTCCCCCCTTTTTTTCTTTCTTGATCATCAGTCTTGCTAGGGCTTTATCAATTTTATTGATATTTTCAAATAATCTATTTTTGGTTTTGCTGATTTCATTATTTTCTTTTTCATTGATATCTACTTTCTATTTACTTCCTTCTATTTACTTCAATTCAGTTTGCTTATATTTTTCTAGATTATTAAGGAGGAAAAACTTTTTAAGTCCATCTTTTCCCTTTTAAGCATGTAAAGCTTTTATGTTTATATCTTTGTGCTATATTGACCCTTTTATTAGGGAATGACATTACCTCTGACAGTAATTTACAAATATCTTTATGTTTAAAGTGTTCCTGCTTTCATTAGCATGGAGGTGGGCTTTGCTTTTATATCCAGTCTGTCAGTTTTTGCTTTTTAATTGGAGTCTTTAGTCTGTTTATGTTTAATATAATTATTGATTATATTTGGTAGTTCCACCACTTTGTTTTGTTTTTTTTTTTTCTCCATTTGTCTCATCTGTTTTTGTTCCTCTGTTCTTTCCTGCCTTCTTTTGGACTAGTTGAGTAATTTTATAGTATTATATTTTAATTCCTCTGTGAGGATTTTGAAAAACTGTAGCACCCTGCAACAATGTCATTCCATTCACTCCCTCTCCTCCTCTGTGCTATTGTTTTCATATACATTATGACATACATGTCCCTTATTAACCTGGTAATACAATATTATAAATTTTGATTTAAACAATTATATCTTTTGAAGAAATTAAGAAAAGAGAAAAAATAGCCTTTTATACTCACATTTTTACCATTTTTGGTACTCTTCCTTTCTTTCCTGGATCTGAGTTTCCATCTGATATCATACTTTCAGCCTAAAGAACCTAAGTTCTTTTTTGAGCTTGATTGGCTGAGAATGAGATTTCTCTTTTTATCCAGAAATGCCTTTATTTTGCCTTCACTGTTGGCTAATAGTTTTACTGGATATTGACTTGTGGGTTGATTGGTTTGTTTTTGTTTTTTTCTGGCATCGCTTTAAAATCTCATCCTGTTGTCTTCTGGAGAAGTCAGCGGTCATGCATACTGTACTATATTTATAGCATCCTTCTTTTCTCTGCTTGCTCTTAAGATTTTTCTCTTTATCTTTGCAGAGTGAATGCTTATCCTGCTTTGCCTTTTGTGAAGTCCTTGGATTTGTGTGTTGATGCTCTTCGCCTGATTAGGGAAGTTTTGGGCTAGTGTTCCTCTGAGTACTTTTTTTCTGCACCATTCTCTTTCTCCTTTCTGTCTGGGACTCAGATTATGCAAAGTTGGGGTGCTTCCTATTGCCCCACAGGTCTTTGAGGTTCTTTTTGTTGTTTTAGTCATTTTTCTCTCTGATGTTCAGATTTGATCATTTTTATTGATCTGTCTTTAAGTTCAATGACTCTTGTCATCTCTGACCTGTTGGTAGGTCTACCCATTAGGTTTTTAATTTCAGTTATTGTACCTTTCAACTCTAGAATTTCCACTCTGACCTGTTTTATAGTTTCTGTATCTCTGTGATATAGAGATTCTTCATATGTTTTTTATGCTTACATTTTCCTCTTAATCCTTGTTATATTTATAGTAGCTTTTTAAAAGTCCTTGTGTAAGAGTTGTGACATTTGGAACATCTTGGTGTTGATTTCCGTCGAGTGCTTTTTTTCTTTATGATGGGTCACCTTTTCCTGTCAACACATAGGTAGTTATTTTTAATTGAACACCAGACATTACAAGTGATACACTGCAGAGACTCTGGATTCTGTTTTATTTCTCTAAAGTGATTTTTTTTTTTTTTCGGTACTAGATGTCTATTTCATTTTATAAAGTGCTCTAAAGTGATTTTTGATGTAGCAGGCATGTGTCTTGTCTGGTCTACACCTCCCTGCTCTCTCCTTGGTGGTAAGCAGCTGCTGAAATATCTGCTCACTTTACTTTGTTTCCGGCCACTGCTCCTTTGCTGGGTCCCCTGGGATCTTCCCCATGCATGTATATATAATTTAGCAGTCAGCCAGAGATCTCAGCAAATTGAATACACAGATTTTGGATCTATCTTCCAGATCTTTCTCATTGTAGTTCATCTTTGAAGGATAACCTCCCCTCTAGCTTCTGCCATTTGGTTGCTCTCCAGGGTCTCAAACGGTAGTTTTTAATTTTTTTTCAAGATTCTCTAATTGTTATGTGCCGGAGGGTATGTTGGACCAAGTTACTATGTTATTACCAGCAGGCTTGGTTGGTTCTTTATTATAGTTTCCATTTCTTTGATGAGATTTCCTATCTGTTCATTCAGTATGACTAGTTCATATTTTTTTTGAGCATATTTATAACAGCTGCTTTAAAGCCTTTTAAAAGTCTGCTGATGCTAACGTCTGGATCTTCTATGAGTTTGTTTCTACTGACATATTTTTCTTGTGACTATGGGTCACATTTTCCTATTTCCTCTCATGTCTATGGATTTTTTTCTAGATACCTGTTTTTTTTCAATATTAAGTTTTTAATTTTAATTCCACTGTAATTAACATACAGAGTTATATTAATTTCAGATGAACAATGTAGTGATTCAGCAATTCTATACATCAGCAATTCTATACGTTACTCAGTGTTCATCATGATAAGTGTAATGTCTATGAATTTTTTATTGCCTCTTATTAGCTTCCTGATGAAACATTGCAGAAACTCTGGATTCAGTTACTTTCTTCTGAAGAGTGTTGACTTTGTTCTAGCAAAGAGTTCAGATTCTCTTTCCTCTGTAATAGTCAGCAGCTGAAACCGCTCAGTTCCTTCTGCTTTCAAGCATTTGGCTTTTTCCTGTGAACCTTACCATCTCCTCTGTGTATGCACCGCTCCGAGTTCAGCCAAGGATTAGAGTAGTATTTGATCACAGATTTGGGGGCTCTCCCTTTTTTAGCTTGCTTGCTTGCTTCCTTCCTTCCTTCCCAGGATTTCTACCCTCACTTTTTGGCTGCTTTGGCAACCTCACTCTTTGTTCTCTTACTTTTCAAGCCAGTAAAGCTATAACTTTTGCTTGAGGTCTAGCTACACTGCATAGCCATGCAGAACAGGGGGTGTGCTTGGGCAGAAAAGCAGGAGCAATGCACATTTTACCCAGCATGGCTCCTTCTCTCAAGGATCTGCTTTCCTTCAGTTTCCACCAGCACCTGGTCACTCTCCAGTGCCTACCATTTTCTTTTTATTTTATTTATTTTATTTTAATTGCAGTATAGTTAACATACAGTGTAATGTTAGTTTCAGGTATACAACCCAGTGATTCAGCACTTCCATACAACACCCAGTGTTCATCATGACAAGTGTACTCCTTCATCCCCATCACCTATTTCCCCATCCCCCCACCTTCCTCCCCTCTGGTGACCATCAATTTGTTCTCTGTAGTTAAGAGTCTCTTTCTTGGTTTTGCCTCTCTCTCTTTTTTTTACTTTGCTCTTTTGTTTCTTAAATTCCACATATGAGTGAAATTATATGGTATTTGTTTTTCTCTAATGGACTTATTTTGCTTAGCATTATACCCTCTAGCTCCATCCATGTCATTGCAAATGGCAAGATTTCATCTTTTTTATGGCTGAGTAATATTCCATCACATATATATACATATATGTACACACACACACACACACACATACACCCACATCTTCTGTATACAGTCGTCTGTCAATGGACACTTGAGCTGCTTCCATACTTTGGCTGTTGTAAATAGTGCTGCAATAAACATAGGGGTACATGTATCCATTTGAATTAGTGTTTTTGTATTTTGGGGGTAAATTCCCCGTAGTGCAATTCCTGGGTTGCTTTTACTCTCTGACCAGTTGTGTGTCCCGCCTCAGCACTGCTGGGTTTTTAGTCATATCATTTAACCTCTTTGAGTGTTAGTGTCCCTATCTGCAAAAGTAAGGATAAATAATACCCAGGTCATAGGGTTTGGGGGAAGTAAAATGAGTTAGAACACAAAAAGTATTCATTGATGTTTCAGACATATGCTGGGTACCTGGCAAATGGCAGCTCTTGAGCTTCAGACAGACTCTTATCTGAGTAAACCTTGAGGAAAATTTGGCCTTCTGTTGATCGCATCACTTGACAAAACTCAAAAGAAGGTGTTCTGTGTTTACTTCCTGGGTATTTTGGCAATATTTTGAATATCAGCTTTTGGAATTTAATTAGTGATACGTGGTGCGATACATGTGCTTTGGTATTTCAAGTGACTCTGATTTTTCTCTCATTTATAGATAATCTGCAAACTGGCTTCCATGCTGAGCAAGAGCACAGTTGAAAGCCTGCTGCTGCCTCGATTCTGCGAATTGTGTGGTGATGGGAAGTTCTTTCAAGTCCGGAAGGTTGGGACATATAGTTTCAAAACTTGACAAATTCAAAAAGTTAGAAAATTCAAAATCGATTCCTTGGAAGTGTCCTGACTTCTTCAGTAGATGCAGGCTGGAAGAGAAATGTGACCCCTGTGACCTGTGTGAGGAAAACGTGTGAGCAGCGTTGCCCATTTTTACAGAAACTAGGGCGTGCATAGGGACCTGAGGACGAGATCCTGTGAGAGTAAGCCCGTTGCTCTTAGACACAGAAGGACCAGCTCTGGGACCTTGCTGCTTGCAGTTAGATGCCCTTGCCCTGACATGCACGGCCTTTCATGATCTGGCCTACTTTGCTCAGAACCTCTTACCTTTGCCATACCTTCCAACGCCAACCCCTGCCTTCCCCTTCCCTTTCAGTCGCTTGTTCACTTGGTTACCAGATTCTTCCTTTCAAAGGCCATTGCCACACCTCCCTCAACAGCCTCCTTGTCCTCTTCCTCCTCCTTGCTGCATAACCGGCCCTCTTCCCTCTGGTCTCTCCTCATGACGCATCGGCAAGAAGATCGGTCTCATTTACCATGCAGAGAATAGTAAGGGTCTCTTTCGCTTTATTGCTAACCAAATGCATTATGTATGGAGATCAATTAGGAGCCAGAAAGTGCTAGGATTTGGTACTGTGTTGTAAATCTTCTGTTTCCAGTGTGCTGGAGGCACCGGGCTAGCCTGTGTGGGTGGTGGGCTCGGTAAGTGCTTGTTAGGTGCCTGGCTAGAGGAGTCATTGCCCCCGAAGCTTTTGCTTGTTGGCTGTCACAATTTGGGAAGACAAAAAAGAAGCAGACAGGGGCGCCTGGGCGGCTCAGTTGGTTAAGCGACTGCCTTCAGCTCAGGTCATGATCCCAGGGTCCTGGGATCGAGCCCCACATCGGGCTCCCTGCTCCGCGGGAAGCCTTCTTCTCCCTCTCCCACTCCCCTCGCTTGTGTTCCCTCTCTCTCGCTGTGTCTCTCTCTGTCAAATGAATAAATAAAATCTTTAAAAAAAAAAAAAAGCAGACAATAACAGGTATGCCTTTTGCCTTTTTAAGGTGTGTGCTACAAATTTTGGTGATATTTGTCACGCCGTTGGACAAGAAGCCACTGAGAAATTTTTGGTATGTGAAGTTTTGCCAGTCGTAATTGCTAGTGCATTTCTTAGGGTGCTTTTAGAATTGGTTGTGAAGTTTTGTATTTATGAATCTGTTACTTTGGAATGACAGCTCAATTTTGCATTCATCAGTTCCAAATTTCTTGACTTCCGAAGCCAACGTTTTTTCATAAGCGGTAGGCAGCTGGTCCATGGAACGGCGTGGATGTCACCCCAGCCCACTTTCCTGTGGGCTTTTGCTGCTACCTCCTCACTGGTCGCTTTCCCTGGTCTCTTCTCACTGTCTAAGCCACTCTATCTGTCTCTTTTCCACTGCTCTTTCTAGAACACTGTTCTACCATCTCACTCCTGGGCTTCAAGACCAGTGGGATTTTTCTAGGTTACAGGTTAAAATCCAGACTCTTTTTGGCCTTTTGGGTCCCCTCATCAGTGCCTTTCCTGCCTCACCTCCAGCTGCCTTCCTCAAGTCTGAACACTGTCCCGGCCTGGGCAGGTCTCACCTTTGGCCATGCATCTGACTCATGGGATGGGCAGGGAGGCGGGGAGGCAGGTAAGGCCCAGGGGTCTGCATTTCTGATAAATCCCCTCATGATTCTGATGCACAGCAGGGCAGAGAACCACTTCACTAGCCAGTGGGTGGCTTTTCAGCTCCCTTGAGGCTTTCTGCTTTTCCCCCTTCCACACCTCTGCTCATTACTGCCCCTCTCTTTCCAGTGTCTTCCCCACCTGGTGGGACCCAACTCACACTTCAAACCCAGCTTGAATGTGCATATGCCTCTGTCAAGTCCTCTCCTTGTCTAGACTCACCTACCCACTGTGCCAGAGAGAATTAATTTCTCCCTTTTCAGCATCCCCATAACATTTTGCTCAGAGTACATGCGTGTCTCTTATCACACCTCATTATAGTTTTGCTGATGTGGGATCTTCACCCTATCATGTTCAGCTCTGTTTCCCTGGTGCCTATGCAGAACTATGCTAAATAAGTGCTTGCCACTTTTATTTGACAGGATATCCAACCTGTATTTTTATTTGACTTTTACTGGACAGGATTTTTATTGGACAGGATATCTAACCTGTGTGGTTAGAATTTAACCTCAAAAAAGTATACTCTTTAAATTGATTTTTAAATTTAAGTTCAGAAGCTCATTTTATTTTATTTCAAGTGCAAGCCATGTCAGCATAGTTCTGACCCCAAAATAATTTTTAGTGGGCTGTCGTTCTGAATGTACAGCAACTGTTGTCTTCTACTTAATGTATCTGAATGAAGAACAGCAGTGACCAACATACTAACCTTCCTGTGGGCGGATATTTCCATGATCATATATTCCCATTTGTGGGGCATTTTGGCTGATTATTTTACATTAAGATATAAAAAACAGAGCCTCATTTTTAAAGGATAAATTTTATTTATTATTTTTTAGAGAAAGAGCACAGGAGCAGGGGGAATGGGCAGAGGGAGAGGGAGAGAGAGAATCTTAAGCAGGCTGCATGCCCAGTGCAGAGCCTGATGCCCCACTCGATCTCATGACCCTGAGATCATGACCTGAGCCGAAATCAAGAGTCAGATTTTTTTTTTTAAAGATTTTATTTATTTATTTGATAGAGAGAGACACAGCAGGAGAGGGAACACAAGCAGGGGGAGTGGGAGAGGGAGAAGCAGGCTTCCCGCCGAGCAGGGAGCCCGATGTGGGGCTCGATCCCAGAACCCTGGGATCATGACCTGAGCCGAAGGCAGATGCTTAACGACTGAGCCACCCAGGCGCCCCAAGAGTCAGATGTTTAACCGACTGAGGCACCCAGGCGCCCCATTAAAGGATAAATTTTAAAAGACGATGTGATCATGACCTTCATACAGATGGAAAGCGAACATGCCAAAGATTTGATTTAAGTCATTTATTCACGAGGGAAACAGTAAGGTACAATACCTGGCTTAATGGAGAACTCAAAGTACCACACATGTATGGTCAGACCAGAGGATACTGAAGTGACCTTGCAAGGGGATTCAAAATTGCTCAGCATCCAGGGTGATAATCAGGTGCATTCCACTGGACACAATTTGCATTTCTGTGAACAGGAATTATTTGCATTACTATCGGTTTTTAACAATATACCTCCTATCACTAAAAGACCCTAGTTAAAGATCGTAATACCTGGATGGGTGAGCTAGTTGGGATATGCACTCAATTTCAAGGTCATTTCACAATTTTTCTCTATATAATTCACATAGCTATGTGAATATTAGTCATTCTGCCTTTTAACCAAGTCATTTACTAGAATTAAGAGGTAAAGGAAATGTTTCTTTATTTTTCTTACCATAATTTCTCTTTGTCTCAAATGATTCCTTTTAGACTAGTATATATTTCCCTCTTCTTGGTCGTTAATTTATGGCTGTGCCTTAATTACGTCATTAAAAAAGGTTCTGCCGTTCCTCAGGGTAGCCAAGTTTGAGTAGCATGGTTTTATTTGCTTTGGTAGATCCCAAAATTTTTTGAGCTCTGCTCAGATAATGTTTGGGGGATGCGAAAAGCCTGCGCAGAGTGCTTCATGGCGGTGTCCTACAGCGCGTCCCCCGAGGTCCGCAGAGCCCAGCTGTCACCCCTCTTCATCAAGCTCATCAGCGACCCCTGCCGATGGGTAAGTGCGGGCAGCTCGGCCGCGTGGGCCACCAGCCGCAGCTCGCTGACTGGCCTCATCTTGGCCTCTGGACTTGTGACTATGTATTTTGTCTTTTCGGTTCCTGATTGGCTTACTTAGACCTCGTGGGGATTAGAGCACTTGAAATCTCCAAAGCTTGGGTGCCTGTGAAGAAGGGGGCACACGCCCTAACATTTGTAGTGACCGGACATCATAGGGCTGAGGAGTGAGAAGGGAAACACTCAGTGGAGAGTGACCTTTGCTGTTACTCTCACAAACACGCCTGTCATGATTCATACGGTCTGGTCAGGTGCTTTATGAAGTCTGGACTTGCTTGATGTGGAATTAAAATTCTAGAAGAATAAAAACTGCGTGATGGTACTAAAGTTCTCCTTATTTCTGTTGAAAAGAGTCGATTTGGAATTTGGAGAACGCCTTAGAAAGCAGTAAATCTGCTTGGACCTAATTCGGCGGACAGCGACCAGCTTGGTGGTTGGCCAGCTGCCCGGCCTGGGTCACACCTGGCCGACGCCACATTCACCGCGCTGTGCTCTCTGTTTGCAGGTGCGCCAGGCTGCCTTCCAGTCCCTGGGCCCCTTCATTTCCACCTTTGCGAACCCCTCCAGGGCCGGCCTCTATATTCGAGAAGACGGCACCCTGAGCATCCGACCACCAGCTCGGGATTTGGACTCTGCTCTCGCCTACGGGTCACCCCGTGCGGGCAGTTGTGGTAACACTTCCTCAGCCTGGTGAGCTCTGAGCGGGATAATTCCCAGGGCCCGCGCTTCACCTTAAGTGTCTACCTAAAATTTTAGCAATTATCTTGTCTGGAGTTTTAGTAACAGTGACCTTCTGGGCAAGATGGAATATTAGAGCTTTAATTATGTAAAGAAGCAAAAGTAATTGCAATAATGATTTTGAAACATGACTACTGGGTTATAAATAATGAAGCTACTGTGTCTCCTAAATTTAGATAAAATATTCATTGAGAGGAGTGATTAAATAACCTATAAAGAAAATTTTCTCTTACTTTTTGATTAATGAAGTTCTTTGGATAATTTACGTAGGGAAGATGTGAGGTCTCCCAAATGTCTGTTTGTACCATGCAGTGTTACATGCCCATAAATATAGGATGTTACCTGCACGTACAGGTGACAGTCCTGACCCACCACTAGTGGACGCCATCCTGCCTTTCTAGTAAGTTCTAGTGATTGATCTTGGAGTTTCTCATCTTTCCTCGGAGGCCGATGGGTACACACCAACCAGACCATTCGAGGTCGTTGGTAAGCGTCTCTCCCCTGCTAGCATCACGCGGGAGCAGGAGAGTGATACTTTACATCTCGGAGAGTACATGTCCTTTTTACCACTGGTGCATCCTTCCCTCCATCTGTCTCCGTCAAAATTCACTGAGCTCCTGCTCTGTGTCCGGCCTGTGTGCAGCACCTTCCTGCTCAGGACTCCCCCAGTGGTTTCGGGGGCTTTTGTGCCCCGGTGGCTGCCCCCTGGTGGAGGTACTGGCGAGCAGTGAGTGCGTGCAGTCTGCCCACTGAGGGCGTGTCAGCAGAAGCCAGGGCTCATCCACCACTTGAGTAGAATGGAGGAATCGGCTGAACTGTGTGAGACATTTTCAGCACACATAATACTCCCAGGTGGGCAGAGGGGGATGATTGGACCTTTTATGCTCTTGTGAGCTTATGAGCTTCTGGCCCTGGGAGACACAGGAGGTCGGGCGGCCAGCTAGAGGAGGACCGGGCTTGGGAGGACGTGGAGCTCACGTTTTCCCATTTTACTTCCAGTCCATTACATGGCGCTAAAAGTACTCCCCTCAATCTTCCCCTAGTTCCACGAAGCTGGTACACACGGAGCCGGACCTGCCCACGGAGGGCGCATCAACAGGAACCAGCGATCTCCTGCACAGCAGTAGCTCCTCTGGTGGCCTCATGGCAAACTCAGTGGAAGATTCTGCCTTGCCTGGAGCTGAGTCAGCCAGGCTTTCCCCGGAGGCCGGTGCCTCCCTGAAGCTCCTTGATGGGGACAACCTCCCCATCCACTGCCACCCTGGACTGGGCTACTCTACCTGCCCAGAGAGTCCTGAGGATGTATTCAGTAATTTCCTTTATTGGCGAACTCCTCTCCCTGACATAAGCAAGGACCTAGAGCTATTGCTGAGTGAGGCTGGGCCCCAGGAAAAGGGCTGCAGCAGGCCCGAGACCGTGCACCACAGCTGTGTGGCCCGGAGCGAGATTCAGAAAGTCCTCGATAGTCTGCAGGAGCATCTGATGAATGATCCGGATGTTCAAGGTAAACGTTGTCTGTTGTGATTAAAGAGAAAACAGGGTGTCTCTGGGTTGGGCGTTAGCCAGGCCTGTGTGTCGCTGCGCCTGTGTGTGTGTGTGTGTGTGTGTGTGTGTGCGCGCGTGCTCACTTCATGTCCACTGTGCACAGATGGCCAGGAGAGGGTCTCAGCCTCAGCACTGCCAGAGCCCTGGGGACCTCTGTGCAGGGCCCCGCTAGGGTTCTGCCTCCTTGTTTTGCAGCTGTGCAAGGCTGAAGGCAGCCCTAATAGAAAGGCAGAGTTTGTGGGCATATCTATAACAGTGGAAATTTTATTAGCTGCTTGGATGCTGTTACATCATTTTCCACGTTATAGTGCTTTTTCTCGTTATTAACAGCTAAGGATGGTGCTCCTTTTGGAGCTTATTAACTCGGCCCTTAGCCAAACTTTAAGGTTTTTGTCTTTGTACAGCAAGGGAAAGTACAACTTCTTCTTTGGGGTGTTTTTCATGTTATGACTAGTGCTCCCACTGAGCATCTGATCTGGGAGCCGGGCCTCGCGATCCATATCCATTATCATGCCTCTTCTTGCTCTAAACAGTGCTATATTTGTATTCTTCCTTGGGTTGGGGAGATTGGGAAAAACAACACTTGCTGCTGTTGCCGGGCAAAGATTTGTGAAGCTTTCGGGAAAGGAAATGTGAAAATCCAGTTAGCCCTGTGATTATTCTTTCTCTTTAAATTTATAAAGGAAATTAAGTCAATGTTTGCCAAAGGAATGAGCACATGTAACATATCACTTCTAATAGCTATAGACAAAGGTTTTGGTTTCTGGTTTTGGAAACCGCATTTCTAGAGCAGCATTCGTCTCAGTGGTGGGCCCTGGGCTGGGTGCTGGGCAGCAGTGACGGGCACACGGTCTCGTGGAGGGGGCTCTGTAAGCCACCCTTGGTACAGGGTGTGGCCGGGGCCGGGCCGGGAGGCGGTGGGACGTGCTGTGGCAGCACAGGGCAGGACCCCTGGGGCCAGAGGAGATGTCTGGGAGAAGACCTTGCAGAGGGAGTGGCATTTCATGTGGGCCCCAAAAGACGACAGCTCGGAACCCACCATGCAGAGAAGTGGGGAGGGATGTGTCAGAGGGTTCTTTCCAGTCCCTTGAAATCGTTTGTAAAATTTTGCGCATACGTGTGTGCCTCATTTTCATAGCTTTCATCAGAGCTCAGAGGGATCTGTGACCCTGAAAGTTTCAGAAATAAACGACACACTGGGGACTTGTAGACTGGCTGCAGCTGGAAACATGACTTGGGCCATTGCGAAGGGCCTGATGGGTTACACTAAGGAGGTGGGACCTTGTCCTGGGCCGAGTGGGGAGCCAGCTATGAGCTCTAAACATTTTAATGAATCTTGAGGTCTATTGAATTTACCTCGTAGAAAACAGGATGTAGGAACTATTGTGTGTATGTGTGTGTGTTTGGAGGTTGGGGACATGCACATCAGATTGTTTTTACAGAAAGGTGTGTGAAATATGTCATTTCTGCTGTTAGGAGGGTCTCAAGCAGTCATGCTGTGGACAAATGAATAGTCCTTGGGGCTTGGTGAGCAAGATCTGTACTCATCTGTGTGTACGGAGATGGATCGATTTCTGTGCATTGGGCGGGAGGTGCGGAGAAGGCAGCAATCCTCCTTTATACATGGGGGAGCAGGACCCCCTCACCGAGTAGGTGGACCTCCCAGACACTGGCCTTCAGGAACAGTGTGTTGTCTTTCTGTGAGAGATGATGGAAGCAAACTCTAATTGTCTTCATTGAGGCGTTTCGAGTTCAGATTTGATGCTCTGTGCATGGCTGGCGTTTAGTTGGAATAGTTAAAGTTAATGGCCCTAAATATCACCACCTCCCCAAGAGCTCATTCTGGGACTCCAGAGCATGCTTACTGCAGGGACAGATGTGTGGAAGGTGTGCACGTGTGTGGTGTGCCTGCATCCAGACTGTCTTGTTGTGAAGATCCTTCTCAAGTGAATCCCTACAAATCAAATAAAGTTATTAAAATTCTTGGAACTTCTCTTCCTGCAGCTCAGGTCCAGGTCTTATCAGCTGCTCTGAGAGCCGCACAGCTTGACTCTGTGAATGAGCCCGAGCACCAGCCGATGGAAGGTCGGCATGAGGGGTCCGTTTCTGACCCCAGCCCTGCCTCGGACAATCAGACGGCTCTGTCGGCTTCATCATCGCAGAAGGAGCTCTCCGAGCCCAGGATATTACAAAGCACAGTAAGTGTTTGCCCTCTCCCTCTGCCCAGACGATGTGACAGAAATCACAAAGCTGCATTTTCTTTTATTAATATATCCTGGCAGAGATGATAAATAGCAAATTTAATTTTATTCTTAAGGTCATGTTTTGGATAACTAGACAACCAATCAATCAGGTGATTGATAACCCTGACTCTCCTCCACAAAAACAGGAGAGGAGAGACCAACGAGTACCTTCCCTCTTCTCCAAAGATGTCGAGTCTCAGTTCTTTGTGGGGATTAACCATCTAAGTGCCCGATTTCACTGCTGTTTTACAGCTTTTAGTCATAATAGCACAAGGTGGGTTCCGCGGCTCCTAGAACTGAAAGCCGGCCTCGGCCTCAGCAGGCGGACCACCGCGTCAGGCCCTCGCTCTGGAGACGCTCTTTGGGCACATGGTCACCCCAGTAGTGATACTGGCCTGCTGTTTCTTGGAGGAGAGACTTGGAAAAGCCAGCGGCTCAGTGGCTTTTATCCCGCAACCTGGAACTAGCCCCCGTGAGACACATCCAGGGAGAGGAGGGGCCCACAACTCTCTCGCACTTGAAGTCTCCCTAGCTTTCCAGCTCTCGAGGGGTTGGGAGGCTCTGATGCCTTCCTCACTCCTAGTGACTTGCTCTGACCACTTTGAGCTGGGGTCCTTCCCAGGTGGGGGCGAGGCTAGAGAATTAAAATCAGGGTGGGGTCCAAGATCATAAAGTCCTGGGCATGTTGGCATCTCCTCACTTCCTGTGCCATGATGGATCATCTCTTCCAGCCCGTGGTCTTGAAGGCCAGAGTACCAATTGCTCCACCATCCATACAGTGGATAATTCTATCTTAGCAACCAAATGAACTTACCACCTCCCTTCCCCTCTAGGCCTGTTCCAATAAAACAAAACAAAAGACCCACTTAAAAGCCTGAATATAAAGTGTTTAGGAGTTGCTGACAGTTGTCTTCGATTAGTAAGAAATGAGGGGATATCCTATTTTGCTGGTTTGTTTTCAGAAATAGGCAAGAAAATGGTTGTTGTTACCCGTGCTGCCTGGAATATGGAAATCACATGTTAGGTAGAAAGGCGTGGCCACGTCTACTGTGGCGGAGACCTGATCGGACTGGGGCTTCTTTGTCACGTGCAGAAGTGAGAGAAAGGGAAACGAACAGATTCCTCCAAGTTGGCTCTGTTGCATGAAGGATTTTGAAGGGCTGGTGCAAGCAGACCTTTGGTTTATGTTGTGGGATGTCAGGGCTCTTGAATTTGCAGCTTGATTCTTAGGTTCCACTGTGATCAGTCAGGATGCATCCAGTTGCAAAAGAAGGAAAAGGGACCAAAAAACTCTGAGAGCTTAAATGATAAGGATGGTGTTGTCTCGTAGAGACGACAGAAGAGCGGCTGAGGCCAGGGGGCTGGTTAACTCGGCTCCTTGACGTTGACCCTGCTCCCTGCTTCTACCCTGCCTTCTTAGTGCATCATCTGAGTTGCGCGATGCCCTGGGCAGGGCGGGGAGGGGAGGTGTGTTGCTTCTCACCTGTGTCTTTTGGCTGCCAGGTGGTTCTCTGGGGGGATGACCTCACAATGCCTTTGGAGGTGGCTTTGGCCTGTGGTAGTGTACTTAACCATAACGTGGCTCCTGGAGTAAGTGCTGTTCATGCCAACTGCACTGAAGACTTTGGAACCAGGTTAACTCCCGAAAGAAGAATAATGATTTATTACACATTAATATATATGAATTTATGAACTTGGAGAAATTGAGGTCTTAGGTTATCATGCCAAAATATTTGTTTTATCCTGTCCTCTATTAAAATAAGCACTATATTTCAGTGAAAATCTTGGGAATTGAAGGCCGTGGTAGTGTGCCTCCGAGCAAACGAAGCATCTATCGGTGTATTAATCGACTTTCCTGGATCATATATTGAGCTGATTTGTCAGGATCCATTAAGCTGGTAGACAGTATGACATTTCAAGTGCACGTGGGAGCCCATGTGACGGGTGGAGGAGAAGGTCAGGTCCATCTCCGCTAATGTAATCAATGATCAGAGACCAATATGTCACTGTTGAGTGTTCGTGCTCATTTTAATTCTTAACCTACTGTAAAGGTTCATCAGCAAACATTAGAAGTGTTTGTACATGTGAAAATCGAGGATAGTTTTCCAGGTAAATACTCCTTTATCGGCCACGCCTTCCCCCAAATTAGACAGGTCTTCTCCTTGCCTGTCCATCCGCCCTGACGGGTCCACATTGCTGCACATCTCCAGCTCCCAAGAAGTACTGGACGTGCTTGCTCGCCCTGCCGTCTGGGGTGGTCTCTGTCTTAATCGTGTGACTCTTAAAAGGGGGTTGGTTAACCACCCTGGGACGCTGGGGCTTAAAGAATGGTCAGTGCAGACTCAAGTGGTCGCTCCTCATGGACATTCAGCCTGTCTTCTTTAAGGGCCTCAAGCAGTCTTGAGATGAAAATGCATGATATCTGTTTGCCTTGGCCCTTAAAATCACTGACCATGTCATCTATACCTGTGCAGATGTCTTTTTTAACATCTGGAGAGAGACCCCTGACTTGTCATTTCCAGCACTGAAAGACGATTCTTTGAAGGGGAATGGTAGGATGGCTCTCTGTTTGGGGTAAGTTGCTAACGTGTCCAATCAACTCTGCAGGACCCGGGCAAACCCTGCAGTGGGGCCGTTGACCAGCTGGAGATGGAGCAGAGGCATCTCCCTGCCCCACTTGAGGAGAATAAATCTAAATTACAGGTTTGTTCCTTGAAAAGAAAAGCAGCTCAAAACGTCACCTTTTCTGGGAGTCAAATTTAAGAATGGCCATGGGAACCAGATATTTTTCTTCCGTCAATATTAATGACATAGCTTCACTCGTTTGTGTTGCTACAATTTCCTAACTTATTAAAAAACAAATTCTAAAGGAGTACTAAAGTCTCTTTTGAACAATCTAGAATAGTATTTTAATAAAACAAGTCAAATAGGAGGAAAAACCTGACATCTGTACATTAGCGTTTAGTGTCTATTTATACAAGTCATATCAGGGTTTTTTTTGTTGTTGTCTGAAAAGGTTTTGACAGATTCTTTGATTGACCTGTGTTTGTCTTTGTTCTGTCTTGTGGCTAGGCTCTTGTGCTATGTAAGAACTCTTAAATGTTTTAAATTATCATATCCCCTTGTCCTGACGGAAGAGAAGGTAAATGAGTGATGTCATAGGAAGGCGCTGTCCCGTCAGTTGGAAAAAGCTAGTGACAGTTGGCGTGTCCGGGCCGGGGCTCTAGGTGCTGGGCAGCTACAAGGGAAGAGTGTTTCCATTTTCAAGAGCTGTGTGCATCAGGCTAACCAAATCTTGGTGCCCACACTGTTCTCTGGGATATCAAATGTTAGACGAATTGGGAAAAGATTAGTGTGGGCCTTGCTTTAGCATCGTTCCGTCCCAGTTGAAAATTTCACCTGCAGACCAAGAAGTCCGCCAGTCCAGAGCCCCGAGCTTCTCAGAGGCCTCTTCTTCCCCTGACATCTCTGCTTTGCTGTTTTCACCCCCAAGTCCCAGACCCCTTGTTTTTCCCGAGTATTCTCCTTCTTTCCTGCAAGCATGATGGTTTCCTTTCTCTGCTGTTTCCCAGGATATAATACCTCAACCCCTGCTCGATCAGTATGTGTCGATGACCGACCCCGCTCGCGCCCAGACTGTCGACATTGACATAGCCAAACACTGCGCCTACAGCCTCCCCGGGGTGGCGCTCACCCTGGGCAGGCAAAATTGGCACTGCCTGAGAGACACGTACGAAACGCTGGCTTCCGACGTGCAGGTAAAAGGAGCCCTTTCAGAGGCACCCATGGAAATGGGGTGGCCCCTCTGCCGGGGAAGAAAAGGCGAGCACAGCGGGGCTCACTGGCCTGTATTTGCTGCGGGTGCCTTTGCCGTATTGATGGGGCTCCGATGAAATGAACCGTGGCGGCCAGCGCCCGGCAGTGTCACGTTTATTCTAGAAGCGCCGCTTAACGCTCTTGGTAACATGGCCTTGTGCTTGCTTTCTTTGGTTTGTCTGGCCTCCTGTGCACCACCAGTGGAAGGTGCGTCGGACCCTGGCCTTCTCCATCCACGAGCTGGCCGTGATTCTCGGGGACCAGCTCACAGCAGCTGACCTGGTGCCCGTCTTCAATGGATTTTTAAAGGACCTGGATGAAGTACGAATAGGAATTCTTAAACACCTGTATGATTTTCTAAAGGTAGGAAGAAGGATTACATATAAAAAACAAACCTTCCCTCTTCAAAACAATTCTTAAAGCCGGGCTGTGGAAAGTGTCCATGGACAACAGAAAGCAGCTAGTCTGGGTTTCTCCGGTTGAACTATACCATCCAGAGTCTTTACAGTGGGTGTTCTTTCAGTGATGGGTAAATATTTTTATATCTTTCCTCGTAATCTCCCTGTCCCTTGGAGCCCTAATTCTGTGGAGGATGGCAGACATGTAGCCTAGCATGCTCTGTGAGGGAGAAGGAGCCCAGGCCCCCCGGGGGTAGTGCGCAGCGTGCCCGGAGTCACCCAGGGGAAGAGCCCAGCTGAAACCCAATCTCAGTTCTGCATGAAGGGCTTTCTCTGCAAGACATTGCTGCTTCCCTGCTTGCCTTTTTAATTTTTTTTCCTAAAGGAATGATGAGTGTAAAAATAAGACTTTAAAAATGACCTAGGGAAACTAATTACTTGCACCCACATGACCACGAGCTGCCCTTGACAGACTGGGCTGCATGATGCACTGGGTTGGCTTTTCTCTCGTGGTGCCGGCATACACGAGCAGAGCCAGCTCCCCGGGAAGCAGCCGCGACGTTGTCTTCGGAACACACACATACGTGTTGTTTGCAGGCAGGAAATGATGAGAGAAGTAAGAGCTGGGGGCATGTGGAAACACACAAGCACATACACTAACCGGGGGAAAGGTTGGAAGCATTCAGGGGTCCCCGTGAGCTCTGTTCCCAGCAACGTTAATTCACAGCCACCCCGGGTGATGGATGGAGTTCAAGGCATTAGGGGAATGCCCAGTTCTTGCCGGGAACAAGTGTATAACTTCAAGTGTGATCAGACAGTATATTTGGGGTCATTTTGAGAGATTCTCTATTTTTATTTATGTATACATTTTTAAAAAATAGTTGCTTCATGAAGACAAGAGGAGAGAATATCTTTATCAGCTTCAAGAATTTGTAGTGACCGATAACAGCAGGAATTGGAGGTTTCGATATGAACTAGCAGAGTAAGTAAAACCTGTTTGGGGATATGAGAAGGCAAATTAGATGGAATAATTCTTAATTTTCCTACCTTATAATTGATTTCTAAACTAGCAGTAATAGTGTTCTTTCGGATAAAGAGATTATGTTTTTATTAAGGGATAAAGTGAATTCCAAAGCTCTAAGTTACAAATACCACGGTCTCCGGGGAGACATTCATTTTCAGATGCAGACAGGGCTCGAGTCACTGTGGAATTAGTGTGTTCTGCTGTTCTATAAGGCAATTTATTCGAACCAAATAAAAGATGAATCACCCACTCTTCAGTATTTTCCTGTTAATCGGAAGAGTTTTTGCCAGAGCTTTTCTGAACATTCTGAGTGTAGCCCTCTCTGCAGGGCACAGCGTGGTGTATGCTCTTCAGCTTCTAAAGAAAATGACGTGACAGAGACAGACACGGAAAGGTCTCACCCAGACGAGACGATTATTTGATAAAAACGTCCCCCAAGGTGGCTGCTTTCTGCACGTCATTTTGTGCGTGAAGGACTTATTTAATCCTGGCTTGTGCTGGCCGGAGAGATGTCAAAGGTGTGCCCGGTTCTAAAAGAGCTAAAGCTTTGAATAAAGAGCTAAAGTCCCCGTCCCCAGGCGTGCCACGTGCTTTGCGACGTGCTCTGCGCGGTGCCGAGTGCATCTGGTGGTGACGGTGGGCGGCCTGGTGTTAGTTTGCCCCTGCCCGGGGTTTATCTCCCCAGCTTTAGTTTTCATTTTTCTTACCCTCAACTAGAAATCTCTCAAATCATTATCTTTGCTGTAGAAATCCATCAGGCTTTTGCAGCTCTTCAGGATATGATTTGGCCGATGCCAGGGGCAAACTAAAAGATTTTCTCTTTGCTGTGATCTTTAATCATTATGCTTAATTTGAGAGATTGAGGTTTTAGTCATTATGCCGTGTTCCCAGCTTACCTTCTGAGAGAAAAACAGGCCCACGTTTTCCATGAAAGCACCGCGCCCTCTAGCGGCCGTGCGAGGGAGCTCGGCCAGGGCCGTCTCGGGCCGGGCGGACCTGCTTCCCGGGGGCCGGCGTGGGGGCCGGGGTGGGGGCCGGGGATGGGGCCAGATGTGGGGGCCGGGACCGCGGAACGGGCCCGGGGCCCGGGCTCATGGCTGGGGCTGGGGCTGGGGCCCGACTGGCCCGCTTTCCCGGGGCCAGGATCGCGACCAAGAGACCGGGCCGGGCTGACCCGCTTCCCGAGGGCCGGGGGCCGGGGGCCGGGGGCCGGGGGACCGGCACGGGGATGGGGCCGGGCCGGCAGGGCTCGCGCCGCCGACAGCGTTATCTCCGAGCTCTGGCTATCTTCCATCTCGGCCGTGGTTATTGAAGCCAGAGCCACTGATATGAATTCTGTGCGCCCCCTGACCATGATATTGGCATCATTTTTCTGAAAACTGCTTTTTGATACGAAAGTGTTCACCGGCACTCCTGGTTTCTGATTCTAACTTCCTTCCGATCTCTTTTTCATTTCCTTTCGTTGCCAGCGTGGAAGTAATGCCATTTATTTTCATACCCTTCTCCCCATCCCCATTTAGAAAACCGTGGAAGCTTTGGTGGCAGGTGTTCCCGGCCAGCCGTCTCCCGCGCGCCTGCCTTCCCTCGGAGAGAGAGCTGGCGCGCGCGGTTCTCTGCAAGCGGACCGCGCAGGGCCGCCCGCCGCCCGCCCCGGGGGCCGGGGCCGGGGCCGGGGCCGGGCGGCGCGAGGTCCCCGAGCCTTCCTGCGCCCCGGCATCTCTGGGAACTTCAGCGGCCTGGCTATTTTTACCTTATCTGATGTGCGAAGTTTTATGTGCTCTCGAACCGATAACCTCAAGTTGAAATAGTATCCCTACTCATAAATTTCTCAGCCTCTGCTTTACAAAGTTTAATTTATTTCCTTTTTGTTTGATTTGAGTGCGTGAGATGAAGAATGAAGATTTATTTTTTTTTCCACTTTCTCTTTGCGTGGTATTTCACTCAGCTTTCTGCTTTTGGCATTTCGCTGATGGAAAGCCTTGCTGGGTCTTCATTTGCCTTAATCTCCCAGCCTAGCTATTTTTGTCTGTAAGATGAAGTGAGAGTAAAGAGAAATTAGTAAGGTGTTTTTTTTTGTCCCCCCAAATAATTTTCTTTCTTTCTTTCTTTCTTTTTTAATTTCAGACAGCTGATACTCATTTTGGAACTCTATAATCCCAATGATGTTTATGATTACTTAATGCATATTGCCTTAAAGTTGTGTGCAGATAAAGTTTCTGAAGTTCGGTGGATCTCCTTCAAACTAGTAAGGAATCATGGCTTTTGTTGTTGTTGTTTGTGCTTTTTGGAAATAGGAATATTTATGTTCCTTCCATTTTAACTCCTCTATTTTCTGCTCTTGATTTTTCAGTATACCTATGAAACCAGCTTTTAAATTTTGAAATTAGGGAAATGTATTACAGTTTTAGCAATACATAACATGGTTTTTTTCTTAAGTTGTACGCTTCAGTGATAGAAATTGTAGATAAGTCATTTTATGTAAGAAACCCTTCAAACCATGGCTTAGTGTTCCTTTTAAACACAGATTGGGCTTACTCGGCAGCATGGTTTTGTAGAAAAGTAGTGAGCAAGAACTCCAATGGAGAAGAGCTGATCCTGTTTTATGTGGGCTCATACCAGTTGAATACTGGGGCGGGGGGGGGGGTTGTCACTTGAAAATACTGATTCACTAAGGTACTCTCATGCTATTACAATTTTATAAAAATGACATGTTCTGAAAGGTAATGATTTAGTTATTATGCAAGGGACCATTTTCTAAAATTTGGAATCTTAAGATTAAGAATGTTCTTTTCTAATGCCGGTCCCTTTTTAAATTTCATTTTTATGAAGGGTTTCACGTGGGTGAGTGTATGTGCATTGTCATATATTTGAACATCTTTTTTCCTTTGTGTTCTAATGATGACCGTGACAAAAATGACTCTCTCCCTTGCTTATAGATTCATTTTAAAGGTGCATAAAAATGTCTGGTTTCTGTTTGAGTAGGATTCATAATTCAAACAGATGGCAGCATTTTAAATGTGCACCTCTGATATTTTTCACAGGTGGTGGCCATTCTGCAGAAGTTCTACTCCCACAGTGAGCGCGCACTGGGGTTAAATTTCATCAGTGAGCTCATCGTAAGGTTCCGGCACTGCGCTAAGTGGGTTGGAAGGCAAGCTTTCGCTTTCATTTGTCAGGTTAGCACGGCCTGGGGGGAATCTCCCCTGGGCTTATGTTGCTGTGGACTGATATCAGATGCACCAGACACAGAATCCCAGCCCTGAAATACCAGCTGGGAATTTGGGGATCAGTGGACCGAACCCCTTTATCTCACAGGAGATTGTGATCGGCCCAGTCAGGCAGAATGATCGGCCCAGGGTTACCCCACCCATCTGTGCATTCGGCCTGTAGATGTTGACTGAATGTCTCCTGTGTGCCGGGCGTGTTCTAGAAGCTGCAGACAGAGAGTGAACAAACTCCTGCTCCGCCGGCACCTTCCATCTGGTGAGGTGAGGGCGAGGCCCAGAGCCCTGCTTCTGCCGTACCCAGTCCAGGGCTGTGGTCATCCCTGTCCCTGCCCTCAGCCAGCTGCCTGGCAGGGAAGGTGGGGTGAAGAACAGAGCAGTAGGTTAGGGCAGAGACTATTGAATCCCTCTGAAGTGAAGTTCATGTCAGCTGTGCAGCATCTCTGGTCACCCTCTCTACTTAGTGTCCTGGAAATGGTGCAGGTCAGATTGGCTGGGGCTGATGGCTGCCATTTCTTGGACGCCTCTGTATGCCAGGTAGTTCATCATACATACATCTGATCCTCGGCAGTTAAGATCGGCCGTGTATCAAGCATGTCACACCCATGTACTTTCAGACCAGTTGTTTAAGGTGAAGCAGCTGAAGCCCAGAGAGGTTAAGTAACTTGATCAAGAGCACACAGGAAGTGTTAACACCGTGATTTTTTTTTTTTTCTGCTAACGTGTTATTTAAAAAGTTTTAGCCTTTCCCCTTGCACATTTTCAAGCATGTACAAAGGTGGAGGGAATAGTATGGACTCTCCATGAACCTGTCACCCAGCTTTGTCAATATTACAGTAAAGCTGTAATTGGACTCTGGCTGACCCTCATACCCAGTTCCCCCACCAAAGGACTCACCAGGGCCCCCTGTTGGGCTGGCGGGGCATCACAGGGTACTTTCATGGTCTGCTTTGAAAAGGGCAGTGGGTGGCTGAGTGAAGTGCCAGATTCACAACCACAGGCCTGACGCCACAGACTTCTGTGAGGAAGAAGCCAATCCTGTAAATGAGGGATTGGGCTCAGTCCATAAGTCCATATCAGTCTTGGTAAATGAGTTTTTTTTTTTTTTAAGGTTTTATTTATTTATTTGACAGAGACACAGTGAGAGAGGGAACACAAACGAGTGGGAGAGGGAGAAGCAGGCTTCCCGCAGCGCAGGGAGCCCAATGCAGGGCTCAGTCCCAGGACCCTGGGATCATGACCTGAGCCAAAGGCAGACGCTTAGCGACTGAGCCACCCAGGCGCCCCTAAATGAGATATCTTTGCTTTTGTCTTTTAATTCTTGATCTGAGACTTAGAAAATCCATGATGAGACAAAAGGAAAAAAACACCCACTAATTTTCTTCAGGAAAAATCAGTGTGTATGCGCTTTCACGAATTATTAATAAGATTTAGAAAACCCACGACAAGACAGACAAAAGGAAGGGGGGGTCACTTGATGGTTATTTCAATGCTGCTCGGGGGAGCGAGCCTGACCTGGGGGCTGAGGGCCCACGCTGCAGAGGGGGACGAGCTGCTGCCTCTGCCTGGCCTCGCATGTGCCCAGCACCTGGGAAACACTTACTGGACACCTACAGCTCTTGTCACCCTGTCGCGGGAAGGTGTGCAGGATTTAGAATCCACACGCCTGGTTTGGACTCCCCCCCCCCCCCCCCCCCCCGTCGCTGGTGCTCATTGACTAGGAGACCTGCGGTGGCCCCACACCAGACCACAGTTTCCTCCCCTGTAAAACTGGGCTCACTCTGGCTTCCATGGCTGGCCGGGAGCTGTAGGCCTCTGTCAGCGGAGTGGCAGTGTGCCTGCCGAGGCAGCATTTGTCAGGTGTTCACAGAGGGGGCCGGGCCTGCATGGGAGTCTGGGGCTGGCTGGCACTAGACAGGCCTGGCGCCGGCCCTCAGAACCCGAATTCTGGTGAGTAACAGAGGGGAGGGCCCTCAGCCTTCATTGGTGGGCGCTTTGCTAGATTCTTTGCAAAAATGATCTGCCATCCCCCTCCCACCCCTACTTCCCCATTTTACAGGTGGGGAAACCAAGGCCCAGAAAGGTGAAGCCACTCACTCCAGGCCATGAAGCTAGTAAGTGACCAAGTTAGGTTTGAAGCTAGGCCTGTCTGACTCAGAATCCTTTATTTTCTTCACCAAATTTTATACCACCTATAACCCAGTCCTTGGTGAGGACTTAGAAATTGTTAACTGTGTTTCTAACCAAATTCAGTGGTTGAGATTTTAAGATTCAGACACACACACACACACACACACCTCAGACCAGCAGACCCCGAAATTACTTCTTTGGAATTGTGGAAGGGTGTTTTTAGAAGAAACCTGCTGACCACTGTGGAAAAGTATCAATTCTTTGGCTGTGGCTTTCTCTTGTGGCAGGCGGTGGTGAACGAGGAGTGCATCCCTGTGGACCAGTTTGTTGAACACTTGCTCCCCAGCCTTTTAAGCCTTGCCTCAGATCCTGTGCCAAATGTGAGGGTTCTGCTGGCCAAAGCTCTGCGTCAGACGCTGTTGGAAAAGGGTATGTGGACCGTTTTTCCGAACTTACACAGTTTAAAGTTCACCAAGCAGCAACTATAGTCTTCCTCTTCAGAAACTTGTCTGATCTCATACTTCGGACATTATATAAATTGATGTATTAACTTTTATGCAGAATATTTTGTTATTTATAAAATGGTGGTTTAGTTTTCACATTTAATGAGCTTCATGGTAAAATGCAGAACTTCACAGTCTTCTAGAAATGGGGGAAACTTTTGTAAACGTTGAGTTATGACACAGACATTATGAAAGGCAGCCAACGTAAGCCTTCGTTACGGTGAGGTTTGCAGCCTATTACTACGTCCTGAATAGGACGTGACGCAGCATTGCATCCCTTGGACGGCAAGTTCGCACCTGCACCACGTGCGGAGCCGACCCCTTCCAGCCGGTCCCGGCAAGTGCCTGTCTTCCCGCCGCGCCCCCAGCCCCGCCCCGCCCTGCCAGCCGCCTGTTCCCCTCCCTGCCAGCCACACACTGGCCGTTCTTTGGTAGTGGAGGGAAGGAAAGATGACATGCAAAGTTTTTAAACTATAATTTAAAAAATACGCATAGCCGTTCTTGGGAGTCCATCTTCGAAATTGAGGAAGTTACTCCTTGACGAAAGCAGTCTTGTTATCATTCCGAAGGCCTTACGTATGTGGTTACTCTGTGAAGTGATTTATTGTCCTGAGGTGTGGTTTAAACCCCCCCCAGCACTCGAGTCTGTTTCGGAGCCCAGTTCAAGGCGCATGTGAGCCAAACTACCGTTTTCTCTCTTTAGCGTACCTGAGAAATGCCGGTAACCCTCATCTTCAAGTCGTTGAAGAGACCGTCCTGGCTCTGCAGTCAGACCGGGACCCAGATGTGTCCTTTTTTGCCACCCTGGAACCAAAGCGGCGGAGCACCGCAGACAGGCCTGTGCTGGCAGAACGGAATTAGCCGCCCTGGGATCCCGCGCGCCGCGGCCACGTTGTTCGTGGCCACGTACCTCTCACCCCCGCTTGTCAGGGGTCTGACTGTGCCACACCTTCCGAGGGAAGAAAGATTTCTGAAACTTTGAGGGTGGGCACTCAAATGACCCCTTTCCCATCCGCCGCCCCAGGGACTGCACCTGGGACGGGCACCACCCTCTGCGCCCCTGCCTGCTGATCGGGATGCCCGCGACAAGGCTGTAGCCCCAGGTGGCTAGCTGGGCACGGGGGTCTCCCCATAGCATCAGATCGCCTTCTCCATGACAGACTGACTATACTGTTTAAAGCCCCCTTCCTCCCAAAATAAAGTAGTTTATTAGGAGCTTTTAAGTCTTTAAGAGACTTGCATATTTGGCTTCCCTCATGCTTTCCTGTAAAATATAGTTTATGGTATTACATTTTATTTTTAACTGAAATAATGTACATATGTAAATAACTCCTGACAGGAAGAAAATATATTAATGTAATATTAGCCTCCTATCAGTGAACAGAACAAATACATCATTTAAATTTATGCTCCACTTTGAAGTGCTGCAAATATAGCCCAATTTGTTTACTTTTGGAAAATGTGATAGTTAAGGAAATGTACTAAAGAATGATTTATGGCAGTCTTTCTAATGCTGTACTTTTGTATAAACTGTACTTGGAACTTTTCCTCAGGCACTTGTCCCTCCCCTTCTTGCGGTGACTGTATTCATAAAGCTGTACTGGCCTTTGACAGAGGCAGAAAGTAGAAAGATTTTTCATTCTTACATGGATTTATTATCCTATGTTTAAGAATGCAGGAGGGAAATTGATCATTGGGATGCACGGACACTGACTTTATAGCTAATGCTTTAGAATCTTTAACAGACTAGGAACCCACAGTTCTGATCAGTCCATATACTTGTCAGGGATTTGGGAGTTAAATTATGACACTCTTCAATTTGACTTAAGTACACCGAATTTAGATTTCATGCTTTTAAAATTTAGACTAAGATGCTCTAGAACTTAAACAGGGCTTTTGTGAATAATTTGAGATTCTATAAACGTTTCATTAAGTTCTGTATAACATGTAGGCTCATGTTATTTTTCTTGCTTCTATTTTTAATCTTCTTGCAAGCAGGCATAAAGGAAGGAAGGAGTGGCCCATTTGGGGTTCAAGAGCTGGCCGCAAAGGGCATGTTGCTATTGCCATTCTTTCCTTGGATCTTTTTCTTGTCTGTCTTGTCTTTTCTTTCTCCCTTTTTTAAAAATAAAATTTCTGGAGCTATATATTGAATTTCCTGGTGTACAGGATGTTGTCCCCCTCCCCCAAATTCCACTGAGCTGATTCTTTAAAAAGAAAGGAAGGAATCTATACTGTGCCAAAGAAAATAAGGTACATGTGTGAGAATTTCAAATTGTAACCCAGGGTAGCATTTGGGCAACTCCAGCAGAGCGTGAGCTAATAAATTGTGGAGGCTACGTATTAAGAGAAACAAAAATCAATCAGTCCATTTTGTGTTCAATACTTGCCTAACGTAAATAGATGGAGACATTGTTTTGCTTCAGTAACAAACAATTTTTAATTTTTTTATTGTCTAGAAATTGCGATTGTCATATTGTTAAAATCTGTTGACCTGGCAACAAGTAGAATTATTCACCTGGAATTTTGTATTCTGTGCAGAGCTTCACTTTCCATTAAGGAAAAAAAAAATAACCTCAGTCTGTGTTGTGATGTGTACAATTTGCATGCTGAAACAAATGTGCTTGTAGAGACTCTGGTAAAAAAATCCAACCTTAAAAAGTTCAGCTTATACACTAAAAATGGTCTATAACTTAATATGAATGCCTTTCCAGTGCAAAGTTTTGTTTTTGTTTTTTTTTAAGACTGTAATGTCTCTGCAAAAAGTATGTTTAAGGCTCACATTTTATTCTTCTTTTGTAACAACTGAGATTTTTCTGATGTGGTTCTGCCCCCTTCCTCGCCTTCCTTTCTCTCGTGCTCCTTCCCCCATCACTACAGCTCTTTGTGTATTAATTGTTCCTAGGTGTGGGGTGCTGAGTGTTTGTGATTTGATCATCACACGTAAGCTTCCTGTGTACTTGAACACTCTGCCTCCTCTTGGGTGAATTAATGGAAAAGCACGAGATGGGTTTCTCACAGATGGAGCTCCCTTGAAAGGCATCTTAACAATGGAGCCGGCTCAGCCGCGCGCCAAGTGGACGTTTCCCCCTTGCTGAGTGTTTTCATCAGCACCTTTCTCCCTCGGAGAATTCGAGAGCGTTTTCAGAACTGATGGGTTTGCATGGGGCTCTGCAGACCCTCACGAAGGCCCGGCTCCCGCTTCCGGAGCGGCCTGAGCGCCGGGCCCAGCTCCGTGGGGCTTTTCATTGGTGCCAGAAATAGGATTGTTAAGCTTGGCTGCAGACCGCACCTGGCAACCCCAGACGCGGCATGCCGGGAGGGTTTAGGGCGGTTCACTCCAGGCCGTAGGCCCTGAATTTTGCAAAGACTGTGTTGCAAACGGCGGGGGACTGGAGGGGTCCTCAGGGCTGCCAGGTTACAGTAGTGACCCGGAGAGCAGCTTGGAGGCTCCCGGGGCCGTCCGCGGGGCTCTGCCGGGCGCGGGGCGGGGGGCGTGGTGACGCGGGGGGGCCGTGCTGCGGGGGGGCCCTGCTGCGGGGGGGCCCTGCGGCGGGGGGGGCCCTGCGGCGGGCGGCCATGCGGCGGGCGGCGGGCACGGCGGGCGGCGGCGGAGCGCGGCGGGGGGCGCCGCCGGGGGGCGCCCTGGGCTCTGACCCCGCGGCGGGCCGGCGGTGGGGGCGGGGGGCGGGCTCAGCCGGCCCGCGGCCCCTCCCCGTGCAGCCCCCGGCCCGCGCCCCCGGCCCGAGCGGCGTCGGGTCCCCGGAGGCCGCGAGTCCGGCGCTCGACTTGGCCCCGGACGCCTCCCCAGAAGCCTTCGCCATGTGGGTGCTGCTGGAGGAGACCGGGGAGATGTTCCAAGTGACGGACTGCCGCAGCGACATGACGGTGCGGGAGCTCAAGGAGGAGCTGGACCTCACAGTCGGCATCCCCTTGGACCTGCAGCGGCTCCAGTACCTGGACCAAGGTGACCCCTGCCCACCCCCTTCCCTCCCACGTGTATGGCCTCCACCGGGGCTCCGGGTCCCCTTCTGACCCTGCAGTCCTCGAAGGGACCCCTGCCCGCGTGAGGACCCCCCCCAACCCCCAGGTGTCAGAACAAACCCCACCCCACCCCCTGGAAGCCCCAGATGGAAAAGCCAGTCCAGGCCACGAAAGGAACTTCCCAATCCCGACAAACCAGGTTCACATTAGACCTCAAATATCAAGGCACACCCTGTCCACAGCAAGACCCTAATCCACAAATCTTGCCTATGTCAGGACTCTGGTCCCAAAGCAAGCTGTCTAGTCAGACCTGCCAACCCTGAGCAGATCCTGTCCATGTCAGGACCCCAAATCTCAGCAAAGGCGCTGCTACCTCAGCAAAACCTCTCAGACCCTCAAGCTGCCCTTGTATTTATCAGAGACCCAAATCCCAAAGCCAACAGGGTCTACATAAGACCAGAAGCCTGAAACAAAGCCTGTCCTCAGTGGGACCCTACAATCTAGGGCAAACCTTCCCATGTCAGGACCCCAAACTCAAAGCAAACTTCCAGAAACCCATGTTGGACTCATAACCCCCCCAGTCCTCCAGCCAGCCACATCCACACAAGGATGCCAAAGCCTGAAGCAAACTGTGCCCAAGACTGAACCCCAAATCTCCAGGGTAATTACAACTACCTCAGAACCCCAAATTCTCTGGCTACTGTGTCTACACAAGGATGCTAAAGCTCAGAACAAACCATGCCCACTTCAGGACCCCCAAACCCAGAGCAAATCTACCTAGGACTAAACCCCAAATCTCCAGGGTAACCAAGACTACCCCAGAACCCCAGATCCTCCGGCAGCCCTGTCCATACAAGGATGGTGAAGCTCAGAAGAAATTCTGCCCACTTCGAGACCCCCAAACCAAGAACAAACTTGGCCAAGACTGAACCCCAGATCCCCAGGCTAACCATGCGACCCTCAGAACCCTGAGTCCTCTAGCAACCATGTCCACCGAAGGACACCTAATGCCTGAAACAAACTGCCCACCCCAGGACCCCGTATCTCTATGCCAACCATGCCCATGTTTGAACCCCAAATAAATCCCCCAAGCTACCCCTGCTTGCAACAGAAACCTGAATCCCAAAGCAGATTCTACCCAGATCATGACCCTAAATCCCAGAGCAGACAAACCCATTTCTGAGCCCCCAGTCTCTAACTAGCCACTTATGCATCGAAACCCCAATCCATTGGCCATCTCTAAGTGAGGATGCCAGAACCCAAAATGAACTCTTCCCACATCTGGAAGCCAGTTCTCAAGCTCACCAGGACTGCGCCAGAACACCAATCCCAAGCAAAATATCCTCATAAGGTCTCCAAAGCACGAGACAAACTTTGCCCATAATAGGACCCCAAAACTCACACGAAACATGCCCATATCTGAACCCTAAATCTCATGGAAACCATGTTTAAGCCAACCATACCCATGTAAGGAAGCCAGAGTTCAAAGCAAGCCTTGCCTACGTGAGGACCCCAAAACTCGAAGCAAGCTCTACTTGTATTTCACCCCAAATCCCTCAGCCAGCCTTATCCACACCAGAACCCCAAGCTCTAGACCAAATCTTGCCCATCTCAGGACTCCAAATCTCAGAGCAGAACCTGTCGCCACCAAAACCCCCAATTCCCAAGGGCTGACCTATCCGATTCCTTACACTCAGTGGCTGCAGTACCTAGGACTACGTTAGAACCCCAAATCCCAAAACAAGTCCTGCCCATTCAAGGACTCCACATCCCAGAATAGACCCTTCCCATACCAGGATCCCCAAACAGAAAGCAAACCTTGCCTTCATCAGAACCCCACATCCAGAGCAAACTCTGCCCTTGTCAGGACCCCAAATCTCAAGGCAAACCCTACCCACATTTGAACCCCAAATACTGGCACTAACCCAGTTTGTATCAGAACCCCGAATCTCAAGCAGTGTTCTTGTCCACGTCAGGAGCTCAAAACTAGCCCAATCGGAATCAGAGCCCAGCACCCAAAGCTCACTGTGGCTAAATCAGGACCCCAAAGCCCCCTATCCAGACAGATCCCATGTGGGTGGCACCCAGTGGAGGGCGAGGACTCTAGAGCCCCATCTCTGTCCATCAATCTCCATCCCTCAGCCGGAGGGACCTGGCTGTCTTTGTCCCGATCCCTATAATATTTAGGATATGAGAACAGGATCAAAGCCCCTGGGCTCCATCATCTCCCCACCCGGTTGAAATCAACGCAAAAATACTTCAAGAAAACGGACATATAAAAAACTCTGTGGGCTGCAGCACAGAGGATGTGAACAGCGATGTTGCAGAGACACTGCCGTTGTACTGGAGGGCCGGGAAGCGATGGAGACAGGCAGAGATCTGAGAGCCGCCTGTCTCCACAGTCTCCGTCCCCCCAGACACTGCCCTTCCGGGGCTCAGCTTCCTAAGCTGCAACGCAGAGCCTTTCGGCTCTAGAATTCTCAGTGCCAGGTCCCCCTCTAGACAGGGATGACTTGGGCCAGAATACCTTCCTTTGCTCTCTTTGATGCAGGTTAAGCACCTTCTGTGACATCCTTATTTTGCTATAGTGTCTGGAAGATGTCGGGGGCATTTTTGAGACTTTATTTGGAAAGAAGTTTGTATCTCAAACCCAGTCTCTATTTAACACATTAACGATTGAGCTGCTGGAGGACAGACAGTAAGCATTCCAAAACAAGTAATTAGAAAATTATGTATCCTGAACTACAAATGTCTGGCACCCCTTCTGTTAGTTTATTTTCCCTGATGAGCTGTGCTGAGCCATAAATCCAAGAGAGCTACGAGGCAATGGAAGACACCTAGTGACTTGTACGATGTCACAATCCTCTCGCTCAGCAAGCACTTAGCAACTGGGAGAAGCTTGACCTCTCCTGCCGTTGCAACCCCTCCTGTTGACGGCAAACAAAAAAAGAAAGAAGGTACTATTACGTTGAGAAAAGTAAGTGTGGGTTCCTGCCCATAAATAACCCGCTGATGCCTCCTTACCCACCTAAAGGTGGCCGGGGAGGATCACATGAGATAACGTGTGCGTGAAAACCTTGAGAGACACAAATCTAAAAGGGGTGAGCAAAATTCATGGTCAAGGGGCCATCTTACACTTTTGTTGTCAACTCTTAATAATTGAGCTGGTGATAATTAGTATTTGTGTAAGCTCAAGGCAGTTGCTGCCTGCCTATAAAGAGAGAATGCTCTGATTTCTCGAAGAGAGCTGTTCAGCATGTGTGAATTGCACTCTTGTCTTTCTTAGGGAAACACAGCTTTACTCGATTTTTTTCAAAGTTATTAGGAAGTCAAGTTGTCTTACTGAAGACTACTGATTATCCTCTGTGTTAGAACCACAAATAAGACCCTAATTAACAAATTTGCTAATCGCTATTCCCTGTTCACACCCACCATCCGAAGTTTCTCGTAACCACCAAAGGGGGCCAGCGGAGCCTAGAGCGACACATGCATGGCACTGGGGGGGAAGGCAGGTCTGGTTGGAGTCCTGGTTTTACTATTTCCTAGGCATGGGAGCCCCAGTTTGCTCACCAGCAAACGGAAATGACAAACCTGGCTCGTCATGAGGATTAAAGAGTGTAGGTGCTTGGGACAGGCACTTAGTAATCCCTCGGTGGTGAATCCAAACAACTCATGAATTCCACTCGGAATAATGGCTAGCCTGACCTGGCCGAGTCGAGACTTTACACTTGCGGCATCACTTGTAGAGAAAAGAAATTATGATGTTCTTCTTTTTTTTTTTTTTTTAAAGATTTTATTTATTTATTTGAGAGAGAGAGAATGAGCGAGAGCAAGCACATGAGAGGGGGGGAGGGTCAGAGGGAGAAGCAGACTCCCTGCCAAGCAGGGAGCCCGACGCGGGACTCGATCCAGGGACTCCAGGATCATGACCTGAGCCGAAGGCAGTCGCTTAACCAACTGAGCCACCCAGGTGCCCTATGCTGTTATTCTTAAGCAAGATTATAGGTGGCTCTGTAAGGAAACGTGTGTTTATTTAAAAAGGTAAACTAAAGACAACTTCGCTTAAAATGCTCTAGAGTCCTCTTCTATATTCTATCATCCTGGCAGGCTTTCCCAAAGGGTCTGAACGTATGAAGTGCGAGTAGATCCACGCACCCCATTGTCTCATACGAGTGGAGGGTTGTTCTGGGTGATGACATAAAGGAGTTCCAAAGCCCCAAGTCCAAATCATGGTGAATGCCAACGTGACAATATTTACATTACCATAAATGCTCAGCTGGGGCAATTTTGTCCCCCAGGGGCCATGTGGCAACATCTGGAGACCTTTTGGATGGTCACAACTAGGTGAGGGTGGTATTGGCATCATCTGGGTAGAGGCCAGGGACGCCTGCCACCACCCTACAGTGCCCAGGGCGGCCCCCGCCACAGAGAACAATCCAGTCTAAAACATCAATAGTGACAAGTTTGAAAAAAAAACAAACCTGCTGTAGAGTAGCATTTGAAAGATGCAACAAAGTTTGCCATTGTTACATCCTTAGCCAACTGTTGACAACACTAACCAGAGATAAGTATTTTAGTTTCGTGTATGACGCACGCAGGTCCATTGTGCTGCGTCTGTAACGCACAGTTACTTCGAGTAGTCCTATTTATAGAGTTTGCCTCATAAAATGACTTTACTGCCTCATGTATTTTTTTTGCAATAGAACAAGTTATAATTACAGAATTTTAGAAATTGTTGCCTTTTTTTGGCGGGGGGGTGGGGTGGGGGGGAGCTGGCTTCTGTTTGACCTGGGCCAAATAAATTTTCTAAAAAGCATTAATGGCCACAAACAGACTCATATGGAGTCATCAAATGAGATTAGTGCTCAAGGTTTTCAAATGATCTTTGTGATACCCAAGGTCAGATCATCTCTTAAGATAACCAGCATAATAGTTTATCTTTAATACCCCCCTTTTTTTTAAAGAAAAAATTATTCCCTGTAGGAGTTTTGATGGATGATACTACGTTGAAGTTCCATGATGTTGTTCCTGGTGGAATTATTTCATTATGTATCTGGCATTATGATGGATGGACGGAATTGGTTTTGGCGGCTGTGGAAGGGGATCCCAGTAAGGTGCTTTCATGCTTCTCTAAATGGATATTATACTTCATGAAGCAACCGTAAACTGTGTCTTGTGTGTGTGTGTGTGTGGGGGGGGGATCCAGTCTTTCATGTGAATATTTGAGTAAAAGTTTCAGAGTAGGAAAAAACAGAACTTGGACTCATGTCATAATGATTAAATACTATATTGAGAGTTTCCACTCACTCTTGGGTTTGCTATCTCATGGTATTCACTTATAACCCACCCCCACACGCACACCCCAAAGAAAAAGGAACCAGGGTGGTGCATTTTCTATTCACATGTATATTTTGTAAAGTTGAAAACCTGATTTAACAGTGGGTGAAGGGCTCCGGAGAACTGGGAAGTGCACAATCTAGAGCATGTGATAGGTCAAAAATCCTAATGGGGGTCTGTCCCTCCCCTAAGGTGGAAAGAGCACACACCACTCGATACACAGCAGGTGCCTACTCTTTTCCAGGCCTTGTGCTTGGCTCTCAGCTGAGCTCTGGGGTGGGCAGCGAGGAGAAGGGAGGAGGAAACCAGAAAACCAGAACATCTATACCCAACAGAGAAGGTGGGGGTGGGGGTGGCGCGGAGGGGGGCAAGTGTATGTTCTTCTACAAAGTACATTTGGATGAAAGACTATGAGCATGTGAGGAGAGGGTTTACTTCCAGCCAGGAAAGGCTGGCTGCAGGCAGCATGCGGGGATCAGGTCCGGGAGAGGTGGGTGGTCTCTAGGGAGGCAAACACTGCCTGTGTGCGGGAGCCTTAGAAGGAGGGGTGGGGCATGTCCCAGCTGTTGAGCATCCCCTCCAGGTCCTTCCCTGGGGTCCTCTGCTCCTGGCCTTCCCCTGTCTCCCCTCTGCCACCGGGGACTCGGTCCTGCCTGGGTTTTCTGGCTCTTGCTCTGAACCCGGGGATTCCCTCCTGTCTCCCACACTCTGGGGCTCTGCCTACCCCCACTGCCGCCCCCGCACTGGATGCCCCACATCTGGGACGGAGTTCCTCTCTGCCAGAGCCCACAGCCTTCCTCTCGTGCTCAGGGCCTGACTTCACCACGAGATGATTATATTATGGGGCTATTTTTCATCTGTGAGTGGAGTTCAGAGTGTTCCAAAAGTTAACGGAGACAATGGGCCCGAAAATAGATCGGAAGGCCAGAATACATCAAGTCTCCAGAGAAGTGCATTCCCCTCTGGGGAGGCCACTTCGTGTCGTCTGGTGTCTTCCTTAATGGCCGCAACCACCTTCCTCTGGACACCCAGAAAAGCTATTTTCTCTCTTCAAAACACCGACAGGAAGAATTTCCTGCCTCCCGAGCCTGCCTGATGGTAAATGCGTATTTCCTGGACATGTATAGCGCGTGGTCAACAATGTCCTCCCTGGGTGTGTTCCAGCTTCTCAGTTAGGGTTTGCCCCTCTCTGTTCCCATCACGAGCCTTAACTGGGCCTTTGAGCAAACCTCCCCTCAGGAGGGTCCAGGCACCCACCAGCCAGGTGTACCTGCACTTTGGAAATAACTCAGACTCACTGTGTGGACCCCCTTTATCCTGCCTAGCTCTCCTGCCTCGGTGTTGATGAAGACTCGCTCTACCAAACTGCAAATTCGCAGCATTTGGAACACAAGCAGTGGAAGGACTGGATCGCTCAGAGAGCGTTCGTGGCCTTGTACATTACCTCTCACAGAGGCCACTCGGATGCTGTGCAGTACCTTCTAGAACACGGTAATTCTGAGAGACGGATGAGTATGTTCACAAGGTGGGGTCTTCTGTGGGTAGGGAGGACAGAGTGGCTTGTCTTCCTGGGCCCTTCAACAATGGCGTCCTGGACCCAAGTTGTGTCAACCATCAATCATGGTCCCTGTGGGCCACTGGCTCTCTGTAGGGGTCTTAGGACATGCTGAGTAAAGGCTGTTGTCCCCTCTCTTGGCCGGGTCTCAAGAAGATTCTTTCTGTCGTGGGAGATGGAATTTTTGGACACTAATTCACAGGAATAGCCAAAAGAGCTTCCTGGCCTCTTACAACACTGCTGGAGATGTTCCTAAGCTCCCTGTGTTATTTCTGCCCCACCTGAAGTTGGGTTTCTACCACGGTCTGGGGGCTCTAGCCCCAAGCCACCATCGCTCTCTTGGGGGGTGTGTGTGTGTGGCAGGCCGGCCAGTCTCCTTTCTCCATGACTTTGAATTATTTCCCTCAAGAGACCCTTGCCCCAAACCCTCTTTTCATCTCCTCTGCATCCCCGTCTCTCCCCCGCCTTCAAGGACAAGTTGCCCCCTCTCTCTTGATAGAAATAGAAGCCTTGGCCTGCATTGTCTCTGAATGTGAGGGCTTGCATGGGATGTGCTGGAGCAAACTTTATCTCCCCTGGACATAGGGTATTTTTGGGAAAAGAGGCCCTCAGATTGAGGTGTCGACCATTCCAGAACAATAGACAATGGCCACAGACTGCCCAGGCCGCCGGCTTCCTCAGGAACAGGAAGAACATGTGACGGACTGTTTGGTCAGGGATTTGAGGCCCAGAAGGGGGCCTCATCCGAGGGTCTCCCCTATCAGCTTGCCTTCCAATCCAAACCTTTCCTGCCCACGGTCTTGACCCCGGCCTCTCTCTGCGTCTCTTTGCCTCTTTTCCCACCTCCACCAGGCAAGGTGCATGCATCCCCGGGGCCGGGGCGGGATGCCTGGCGCTTGCGTGTTGGGTAGAGGTTTTCCTGACTATTCTGTTTCTTCCTCCACTGCTTTCGGCACGCCGCCTGTTGTGGGATGAAATATGGCCTGTTCACAGACCAGCAGTCCTTTAAGCTCATAAAAAGTCATTTTCACTCTGATGGAACTGTGATGTATTTGAAAGCCCCAGTTAAAACATTACAGCCAGCTTTGCAAAGTTTTCTGTCCTTTGCTGTAAAGCCGTGCCGAGGCTGAGGCTGGGCGTTAGGAGAACCTATTTAAAACGTTACCTCACCGACCAGCCATAGCTCATAAAAACTGGCTACAGAAATGTCAGCTGCTTGTAATTGAATTGCCTTGTTTTCTGTGTCATGATATTTGTTACCCAGAATTTGATTCAATTCAACAAGTCCATATTGGACACCTGTCATTAGCCCATCCATCTGCGGGAGGCAGTGAGGAATTCAATCGAAGTGAAATCTGTCCATGAGTCAGGCTGCCCGTCGTCTGTCATTTCCCGAGCGCCTGTCTTTTCTAGGCATCGCGCTACGTGCCGGGGATGAAAACAGCAGTGATCAAAACAAGTGTGTTTTCTGCCTTCGTGGAGTTTATGAAGGGAAGTCAGCAAATTATTACAAATAATTAATTCCATGGTCAGTCGTGCGTGGCATGTTCTGAAGATGCAGAATGCCTCCTGAGCATATGCAGGGGGGCGGGATTCCTGGGGAGGGGGGCTAAGGAAGGCTTTCCTGAGGAAGTGTATGGAGGATAAAGAAGGATGGAGTTAGCCAGGGGTGGCGGGGGTGGGGGGCAGAAATGGGTAACAGTGCTGTTAGCAAAGGGAACAGCATGTGCAAAAGGCCTGGGGCGGGATGCAGGAGCAGGGGGTATTTAAGGCATAAAGATAGAAGCCTGGTAAACTTGGAGCATGGAGGGAGGGGAGGAAGAGCGTTGGGTGGGGAAGGTGGCAGGGTGAGATAGAGCAGTAAAGACCTAGAAAATGACCCCAAGGGTAGTGGATGCCAGAAATGGGGTTTGAGCAGGAGCGTGCCGTGGGCAGACTGGAGGCAAGGCAGAGCCGGGTGCTGGGACAGTGCAGCGATGCCTCCTCCCTTATGCTTGGTGCTGGGGTCAGGGGCAGTAATAGATTCTCCCAAGCATTCTTTTTACGGCCTCACCCCTCCCGAGCTTCTCTTCTTGAACGTGATCCTGGAGGTGAGGCTCCCGGCCGGGAGGGTGAGCCTCGCTCAATCAGTCGTCTTATTTTACAGGAGCCGACAGTCTCAGCAGAACCCCCATGGGCAGGACAGCCCTGCACGTGGCCGCAGCCATGGACCGTCTGGATTGTATAAGCCACCTGCTCAAGTACGGTGCCTCCATCAACGAAAGAGATGACAGGGGGGAGAGCCCCATGTCCGTCGCCCAGCGCCTGAACCACAGGCACAGTGAACGGAGGATGTTCCTCTTCTATTGGATGGCAAAGTCGGGGACAAAGGACCCAAAGAACTTGATCACGAACAAGGTTTTTCGCAGGGCGAAGTCCAGGTTTGGCTCCAAGAAGAGCCAAGTTTGACTCCCCCTGGGAACGTTTGCACCTCGAAGCTGACTTGGGTCACTTTTCAGAGTTCAAATTCGCAGTGGCCCTCGGGGAGCAGGAAGCCAAGAAAGCATGGCAATTAATCTGAATCAGATACTCAATTATGGGTCCTGTTTGCAAATGACTTGGGGAAGGTGTTGATGGAAGTAGGTGAGTTTGTGTTCATTCCGTAATCCATTACGGACTGAGCGGGCCTCTGATGCCAGCCGTTAATTTTAAGCTATTTGTACATTGTATCCAATAACGCTGCTTGGGGTGATGAGAGCCAATTACCTTCTCTCGTCTCGCGTCTGGAGACCGTCTAACGCATCAGCATAATAGAAGTAATAGCAATGATGAGGACAGCACGGTTGCTATTGCCCAGAACAAGGACTGGCAAGTGTCGGGGGGGTCATGTGCAGGGTGGGCTGCGAATTTCAGTTTGTGAAGCCCGGGAACTGCCTGCTGCATGCTGTCGCAGCTAGTGATGTTCCTGAAGTTTTCCTGAGCCATCTCTGCGGGGTCTGCTGCTGGAATCGGGGCTTGGGGGGGGTGGGGGACGAGTGAGGCAGAGAGAGCTTGGTTCTCTGGTCACGTCCTCTACCAGGGTGCCTTTATTAGTCTTGGGGAAAGGTGATAAGTTGCCATGGATTTGGGGGAGACCGTGTAAAGGATGACGATGAGCTTGTAGAGGAGAGAATCAGAACTGGCACCTCTGTCCTCTGGTCCTATCCCCAGTGGTCCAAGCACACCTCTCCCCCGCACCCCTCCTCCCTCCGGTGTTCTCCTTCCCCGCTAGGTACCCCCGTGGCAACGCCATCATCCTTCCTATGCTTAGTTCCAGGCTCTGTAGCTCACAAGGGGCCCAGCCTGCCGTGTGCCTGAGCTGGGATTGGGAGCCAGAGGGGAAGCTGACATGCACGGCCCTGTCTGGAGAGCGCGCCATGAATCAGCTCCAGCAGAAACACGAGCCAAGGGCGGCTAGATTTTTCCAGAGCCTTTTGATAGGATACATTCTGCCTTTTGAGTGTTGACTTGGATTTTTTTTAAACATGGTGGCGTGGTACGGAAGGAGTAGCAGATCTGAAGAACACCTATGGGACGGCCTCCTATTGCCAAACTACGCCAGTTCGGTGAGGAAAGGGGCAGAAGCAACTCAGGGCACCTGGAACATTCGCGGCTCAGAAGCCACAGGCTCGAGCGGCCAGGGTCTTGCTGGGTGATAGGTATCGTCCACACTCCCACCCCACAGTTATGTATATTCCTCTAAAGCCCTATATTCTGGCACGACTTCTGGGACCCGTCTCCGTGACAATGGTCTCTCGACCGTGGAAGTTCTGTTTTCAAAGTGATGGAAAACAGCCCTGTATCCCGGCTGCCCTTCTTTCCGACACACATCCCGATAACTGGATTCGGCTTTTAAATTAAATGGCTGCATTTCCTGCTGTCATAACAAGGAAGATCCGTGTTGATGATGCGGCTTTACACTTGGTAGACGTGGCCGTACCCCGCGCAGCAATTCGTTTGACAAATAATAGTCAGAAAAAAAAAAAAATAGAGCTCAGCATCAACTGTGTCAAAACTGAGATCTTGTTTTTGGCAGACATTCTCTAAAGTCAGTAGACAGATATTAAATAACCCCATCCATTGGGTCAATTCATTTAGCTAATGAGGTGTGTTGGCGGGGCGACTCAGGCACCCTTTTAACTTAACAAGTGGCATTACTCAAAGTCATGTGTTTGCCAGAAGCTTTGCTCTGTTGTCTGTTGTTACCAGAGCCAACTGCCTGACACTTGTCCCCAAAACTTTGCAGGCAAACACCGTATCTTCATATGCCCCTAATTCAATTAAACACTCGGCCAGAAAAGGGGCAAGTTCTAAACTCCACGGCTGACATTTGGCTCAGTCTGTGACAGGGTCATGTGCATACTCCTACAGGTCCCGAGGGCTCTTCATTAGAGACAGTCTTACCATACTATCTATTATATTCAAACAAGCTTGCATCACGTACTGAATAAAATATGTCCATAGCCAAAGAAGAGTTGATTTGCAATCGGTCACAATCACGTTACATGTCATAGATATTTCATTAAGCATTTTTTTTTTTTTTTTTGGTGGAGCCAACAGAAAAATTTTTTGTGGGGTCAATTCAAGCATTTTTGTGGGACCCTGAAATCCTTTTAGGCCCAAGGCTCTGGGGATGGTCTTCAGTGTGAATCACTGTGGTCCGTGATCGCCCAGGTGGGCCTCACTGCGGGTGCAGGATGGGGTGGGCTGCCTCTTGGCAGGGGGCTCTGGGTAGGCTTCTGGGTATAATACCCAGCTCTGTTCTCCCTGGGTCAGCCTGGAAAACAGCCCTTGGTGGGTGGGGGACTGCTCATTACAAGCAGATAATGAGAGCTCTGCCCCCCACGTGTTCCCATTCACCTTGCTTGCCAGGATGCTCAGCTGGGGCAAACACCCTCCCCTTGCCCTTGCCCTCGCCCTGAGTGAGTTATAACAAGTTCTTTCTTGTACACATGTTTAATTGGAAGTTGCCTCAAATCTTTTCTAGAAGGCAATGCAGTGCAAATCAGAAAGAGGTCATACACACTGTGGGGTCCAGAGGGCAATGTGAACATCTTGGGCAGGCCTGGCTCGGCTCACCCAGCCTCCTAGCCATCCAGCGCCTGGGACCCCCTGCCGCCGCCCTGGTCTCAGAGGCAGCTGGCCAGAGATGCGGAATTTTCCTCTGCATCCAGTCTATTGGCCTGGTCTCCAGCATCTTCCAGAACCTGGATGTGGGCACCTTGGCTGCCCCTCCGGACCTCAGACTACCCCCTGCGTCTCTCTCTTGCCACTGAGTCTCCCTGCATCTCGGACCCCGGTGCTTTCCTCGCCCGAGGACAATTCCCCAACCAGAGCTTCCCAGAGAGCTGGAGGGAAGGGCATTCCCCCTGGTGGCAACCTGGGGGACTTTCTCGGTGGCCCTGAGACTGATTCAAATGACACGGAGACACAGGCTGGGGGCATTCGTCCCGGTGCAGATTGCTCTGAGTCCTGATTCCGACAAGGAGAAAGTCTGGTACCTTCGACCCCTTCCCCACCCTCCCCGGTCTCCCCGTTAACATAGAGCAGGCTTCTGCAGGCAAGAGGACTGTGCTGGGATTGAAAACAGTGTCTTGTTCTCGGGGTCTTTGTGGGCCTGGATTCCATTCCTTTCTCCGCTCCTAGTGAGTGTGTGGCCTTGGGGGCAAACTGTCAAGGGCCAAGGGCCTCAGCTTCTCCATCCGTCAGAGTCCTCGTCGTCTCCATTCTAACCTGCTCACGTTTTGGAGACGGGAGGACGGATGAGGCAGAGCGCTTGGGACCCGAAGCCTCGCCGCTGTGGCCCTCCTGGGCTGGCCATCCGGCAGGTGGGGTTGAGAACTTTCCTCCTCCATCGGCTGTGTGGCGTGGGGCCAAGCAATTGCATCTCTCAGTGTCTTCGACTGTAACATTCGGGTAATAAAACCTGCCCCTGTCATCACTGGAGGGATTAAATGCCTGGCACAGAGCAGACACTTGAAAAATAGTGCCCGTTATTATTATTATTACTAGCACCACTTAATTTGCTTAAAATGTTTACTCACCGGGAATCAATACGCTCCCGGTTTCCAGATAGCCTCATAAATTTTCAGCAAACCTTATACAATAAGAGTCTCCATCCAGAACTAATAATTCCCAAAGTGGGAGATAAATAATTTCCCTGAAACTTGCTGATTTTGGTATTAAGTACAGGGCTTCTTCAGCAACTTCCAGAAAGTCGTTCCGAACTGAAAACTGCAGGGCCAGTTGCGCAGGAGGGGAAAAAAAAAAAAAAAGCTCTAAGATGAGAGGAAAATTCCAGGCGCTCTGCTCTGCCTCCGCAGGGCCGGCCTCACGACGCGAGCATCCAGCAGAGGGCACAGAAACCCATTAGCATTTAGAAAAACGCCGCTGTTTGTGTTCACTGGAAATGTCAGAGATGCTGCAGTCTGTGCCACATCGGAAACTCAAGAGCAGACCTCAGTGGCGGGGGCTCGTGGGCGGGCTTCTCTGCCCGAGCCCCCGGAATTGTCTGCAAAATGTGCGTGTGAGCACACACGCGTGCTCTGGGGGGAACTTCAGAGCTCCCATCACATCCGGAAAGGATCTGCGGACCCCCTGCCCGGGGGTCCCCAAACCTGGGCTACGTAACGAGGCCAACCCCACCCATGGCCAAATCCCATCAATGTGCCCACATGGTGTCCCACTGGGCCACCCTTCGGTGGGTGTGCGGGGTCAGTTTGCCATGGGAAGAATGATAGACACTGGTCACATCTGGCCCTGCGACGGGGAGCTCGGAGGATTCTGATCCACAGGAGGTGCGCCCATGACTCTGCCCAGCGACCCCACTTTTGTGCCTCCATCCCGCAGAGACGAAACCCCCAGAACATAATGAGCCGTGTGTGCGGACGTTCACGACAGCTCCTTATGGTGCCAAGTGCCTGGAGACACTCCAAATGCTCACCAGTGAGGCTGATGGTGGCATCTTTTGCAGCAATTAAGAAATGACTTGATTTGTGTGCCTTAGGGCCAAGGGACGGCCATGAGGAGTGTGATGTGTCCTGAGGTGAGAAACGGCAAGTGGCCCAGGAGATGTGTATGAGATCATTGAGTTACAATTTTGAAAAGGAGGCAAATCCAATAAATGTGCATATACGTTTATTTGAGCAAAAATAATGATGTCAAAGATCTTCAGACTCTTAGCATTGTCTGCTTGAAGTCAGCGTGGTTGCTTTATACATCTCTAAACGCTCACGACCAGTGTTTCTCCTCTTATTATGGTAAAATAATGTCATTATTGATGTCATAATTTGTCATTAATGATGTTTTACACATTTGCAACATTGTGCAACCAACACCCGTGTCTAGTTCTAGAACATTCCATCACCCTACAAAGGAACACTGGACCCATTAACAGTCTACCCCTCTCCCCACCCCGTTCCCTCTAGCCCTAGACAATCGCCAGTCTACTTTCTGTCTCTATGGGTTTGCCCATTCTGGATACTTCATATAAATTAAGTCAGTATGTATCTGGCTTCTCAGCATGTGTTTTCAGGACACCACAGCATGTATTAGGACTTCATTCCTTCTTATGGCTGAGTAATATTCCATTGTTATCCCTTCATCAGTTGATGGGCATCTGGGTTGTTCCCACTTTTTTTTTTTTTTTAAGATTTTATTGATTTATTTGACAGAGAGCACGAGCGGGGAGAGGGGGAGAGGGAGAGAATCTTTCAAGCAGACTCCCTGCCAAGTGCAGAGCCCGACGTAGGGCTCGATCCCATGACCCTGAGATGCCGACCTGATCCGAAGACAGACGCTTAATCGACTGAGCCACCCAGGCGCCCTTCCCACCTTCTGACTATTGTAGATAATGCTGCTATAAACATGAGTGTATAAGGATTTGCTTGAGTACCTGTTTTCAGTTCTTCTGGGTATACACCTGAAAGGCGAACTGCTGGGTCATACGGTAATTCCATGTTTAATAGCACGTGTTACATTTGTAATTAAAAATATACCTAAAAAACAAACAAAGGGAAGAGAAACCCCCACATGAGCTCTCCAAAGTCTGAGAATCATAATAATCATTTATGGAGAACTTACCCCGGGCCAGACATTTTGCGTGCATTAACTCATGTAGTCTTTTCTGTGATCCTGAAAGTCAGAGGTCTTCTAGTTCTAGTCCATGCCCACTTTTAATTGAGGAAACGCTCAGAGAAGTCTGCAACCTGCCCAGAGTCCACAGTACAAAAATGGCAAAGTGAAGATGCCTGACTTTAGAGACCATGGTTTTAACAAGCACCTGACAATTCGCCTGATCACAGGCCATGCTTCTTCTCGAGGGGTGAACCAGCCTGCCTGGTGGCTGTGACTTTGGTTACCTCTCAAGACCCCCTTGCCCTGTTTACTGGCCCTCCTTGTGAAAATATTGCAGAAGTGCTCGCCTGGAGCCTGGTTAGGACAGGCCACTGGGCTGGGCACCAGCAGGCAGTGCAGAATGCAGGATGGTGGGGCAGGTAATAAAACCTCGCAGCACCTCTCCTCCGCGGAGCCCCAGCGACCACAGGACAGGCCCCTGGGGGGGGTCCTGAATCCTCCCCAGGCCTCCCAGCGTCTGCCAGGAGCTCCCGCCAGGTGGCGCTGCTGCGCGCTGCCGCCTCAGGTGGACGAGCGAGGCGGCCACCAGGTGTCGCAGCGAGACCGCGGATCAACTTTCCGGGCCAGCACCGTCCTCTGATCCACACCCGGACCTCTCTGGTGCCCCATAGAAATTGTAGATCCTGTTGCATTTGTTAATTTTCTCTTCTCTCTCAAGACCATTATGCCCCCAAGGACTTTCCACTCCTCTTTTATGCTGTTTTGATCTTTGTATAGTGTAGAATATTACAAAAAAACCCTAACTTTATGTAGATAGTACTTTTCACATAAAGTTAATAATGTAAGAATTCAGAAAGAAATATGGTCCTCCAGTTCAAAGATTCTTCCCCCAGGCCCTCACAAATTATGGTCTAGGGGTCAGGGATAAGATCCAGCCAGCATTAGAGATAAATTCCATTTTTCTTTTAAACCCCCCCCAAAGGGAGGAAAAGTCCAGGACCTTCCTTGCAGTTCTAATGAACATTTTAAATAATGTCTCTATCACCCAGGAGAGGCTGCAACAAGAAAAGCAAGGAGGGGTTTTGCTAATTTAGATGTGTTGAAACTCAGGATCCTCAACGTTATTTCCCCAAAGCGAAGTATAAGCCACAGCCTGCAGAGAAGGGTGGGGCTGGAAATGAGCACACATCAGAGTTATTTTTACCAAATGACACCTTCAAAGAACTTTATGATTTATCTCCACCTGGTAGCAAACTGCAGTGTATTTCATGCCTGGTGCATCTCACACATGGTGTAGGAATTATATTTAAATAATGCAAAACCATGTATCAGATTTGCTAAAGCTATAAAGTATCGTATTTGCTTCGGAAGTTCTGTTATTTCCGCCCTGCCCCGCAGAGACAGAGGCTTAGGTAGACAAAGCTGCTTCCTTTGAAAAGAAACGGATTGGTACCCTGCAGCTTGGGACATTGGACTTTAGACAAGTGCACGTGCTAGCAATGAGGGGAGATGTCGGACGTGCCGCCCACCTGGGCATGCAACGGGTTTGGTGATGGAGCTTCACATGCTCGAGACTTCGTCTAGGCTCCGGGCCACTCCGATTGGAGTCATGGGGAACGGC